AATGTGTGTCATTTGCAGGTAACATATCTTCATAATCTCTGATGTTTATACAGCTAATCTTTGATTCTTGTGTTTGTGTAATTTATACTATGCCTTAAAGCATCTGCTTTTTTCAAATGATACCAAAATCATGTATATAGATTTTTTTCACATTAAAAATACTTCTATATTGAATCATTTAAAATCAGATTAAACATTAGAAACAAAGTATTTCTGGAGGAGATTATTTTGAAGAGTTAAAATATCAATTTGTGAAGTTTTTGCTTATTGGTTCAATTTATTGACCATATTGCATTACATATTGACCCACCATCGTCATCAGAAGATTCAGTGGCTCTGTCATATCCAGGTTGATACTATTCACAGCCAAGTAAAGGAAACTCATTTAGTAATACCCTATTTGATGCATTATCACTCACAATTGTGGTAATTGTATTCACGAATGCAAACAAAATGCATTTAAGCAGGAAACATAGCAACTCATAAAGACTAAAAGTACCTCAAAACATTGGTAAACATTTTAAGACGTTCGATATAATATTATACGCTTAAATCAGCTTATCGTTTTTAGAGACAGAGGTGATTGACATTAATATTGTAATCAAAAACATATCCCCAGGCTTCTTTTTCCATTATAATGGTAATAATAAAACAGTCCAAGTTGAGCCATGAAAGAGTTGCAGAACGGTGACAAAATAATGACTGCAAATTTGCAAGACTGTTTCTTCATCAATCCGACATGTAGTAATTTAAAGTAACATCTTTTTATTGCTTTGGAAATCTTGTAGTTGTCTTACAACTTGAAAGTTCTTTGAACAGTCAGGATTTCTGAAATGATAAGTAATTTTATCATAACATGTTGCTGGAGACACTGTCATTGTCTTCAATTTATTATTAATTGTACCTAATACTATTTTCTTTTGTTTTCCAATTATTGAACTGTACATGACAATCTGTCAAGCCTACTAATCACATGATATTAAATATTATGACCACATGGGACCGACGTAGCAATTGTTAACTTTTGGGCTTATATAATATTTCAATGATGTTTCTGAAAAAATAAATTAATTAAAATCGAAATGAAAACCAAAAAGAGTAAAAAATATTTAAATATTTAAGCAAGTACTGGTGTAGGATAAAAATGTATCATTCTTCTTGCAAATCGAAAAAAATGTTTGATTTTCTTGGTTGCTTCAATAAAATTTCAAATGCCTTTTTTTAATAGAACATTTTATCAACAACAAACTCTAATTGATTTGTTTAGATAGAAATAAAACTTTTTGAGTGTATGTAATGACGTCATCATTTACCAAGAGACCGTCGGAAAAAATCTAGAGTATAACATTTTTAGACAATACAAATATCCGAGAAGGAACTTTATTTAACAAACAAACAATATCAATATTAAGGTTAATATTTTTATCATTTATACAGACAAGCATTATTGTTCTAATCTCTGATATATTATTCACTTACATTATAAACATATAAGCTGTTTTTTGTTCAAAATCAAATAAGCTCAACAGAATAAATTGATAACTTTTAACTAAAATGCAGAGAGCAAACAAAGCGTTTAAACTTTGGTTGATTACGGATGATGGAGAATATGGTAAGATATCTTATAACTGTCTTATAAGTTTGAGAATATCTTTAAAGAAGGTATGATTCCAAATCTTGTGATGGCTCATTGAGAGGCTAATTTTAAAAACATTGTTCAAATAATATGTTTAAATGACATCGTTGTTTCTTGGTGAAGCCAAGATAGTTTTTGCGCATTCACACAATAATTCTTATAATGTTTTGTATCACATTTTGAAATGATCCATTAAAATAAGGAATTGCCAATTTTTTTCATGTTAGAGCGAATTATGGACCTAAAAATGGGGTATGTTGGCCCAAACCTTACATCAAAGCTGAAATCAGTATTGTGACGTTACTTGTGACGCTGTAATTTCAATACTTTTCACAATGTTATGATTATGTAGTTCTAAAACAGAAACTACATTTCTTTTATCTGGTGTGTAAAATTTTAACGTCCTTTACACTGTAAATCTTTTGTTTAATTTTACCAAGATTCTAATAAGTTGTACCTGGTTAAAAATAACTTATCGTTATACAATAACAGAAAAACACATTCGAAAATTTCTTTATATTTGTTATGAAATCAGCTAAAAGTTGCCAGATTAACAATTTCTAACTTGAAAATTCTTCCATTTCAATGAAAAACATCTATCATTACATACAAATATATTATTTTTATGAAACAGCTACATATCAACACACAATGTGAACAAAATGAACATTATCAAGTATTTTCTAAAAAACATAATTCAACTACAATGGAACATGTGTAATTTTTTTTAAATATTTTTCCTTTGCAGTATTAAGTTGAATAAGTTCCTTATAAAGAAAAGATCTTTTAGAAATAAATGAATAATAAATACAATTTATTATTGATATTTAATCGGGTCACCATAGTTTTACTTTGAAACACTGTTTCCGTTGCAACTTTTAATTAAATCATAAAATAGAACATTTACTGTCAGAAATGGATGTTTTAAAGTTTTATTTTGAAACATTTGAGTTAGGTCTATTATATTATTAATATTATTTCACCATACCCTTGATGTACACAGTGCATGATATGTCAAACAGTTTTACTTCTTGATTATTTTTCAGTTATAGAACCATCTTGAACTGTGTCAGTGCTATCAACAGAGCCTTGTATCTCTTAAGAAGGAAACGATTCAAGTCATTGACAACATTTTTCAGTTTTGCTATTTTGAAAGTTAATTGTTGACGGTCCTCAATACCACAATAATGAAGTCACATGGGCACATGCACCATATATTCAACTGAAATTTGCCTTGTAATTTAACCCTTACATTTTGAAATGCACTTTGATCGCCATTTTATAAGCCCGAAAAAGATGATCCAGCTGGTAGTCTGTCCGTCTATTACCAATTTCATATCTGCTCTTTATCTTTGTAACTGATGGAGAGAAATTGAAAAAAAACTTGGCAGAAAAATGACCTATAATGAGACAAGGAGCAAATCAGGTTTGATCATCCTCAGGTCAAGATCATTTGTAGCATTTAGTTATTGTTAAAGAATTTCGAAAGCCCGTCTCTGCTCTATTTTATTTGAAACGATGGAAGGAAAATCTTTAACAGTATGAAGCAATGTAGGCCCAGACAAAGGGGTCACTTGATTTCTAAAGATTTATATAGGAAAACATATGTATGTCTTATTTTGTGACCTTAAATATTTTACATGTTGCATTGTCTTGTAAACCTCTACAATATTGATACTTATCATGCCGCTTGGGTCAATACTTGCCCTGCCCCTGGGTTACTTGAGTTACATAGACTTATATAGGAAAAGATACAAATAAGTCTTATTGTGAGAAACTACAATGTCCAGCGTATATGTATTTGGCATGTAGTTAGCACTGACTACATGACCTCTTCAAAAGTTTACCTCTATTGGTATGATTTTTCAAAAATGTTTTTAATGTGTTATGTTTTCTTTTAATATAAATTGTCTAAAAGAGTTGAAATGATCCCTGTTTTCCTTTAAAGTTTGATCTGTTTTGTTATCAATTATATGCAAAAATACTAAATTCCATTAATCACATATTTCAAAGCTAATGAAAAAGATCTTATGATATATTTCAGACAATGTGGTGTTTTAATTTTTGATTCCATGAATAATATTCATGGATTTGCATAATAAAATTACTTAAGACATTTATATTAAAAAGAAATTAAAATATGATTTAGACTAAAGGGCTGAAAAGTAAATAAAAAATGATTGAAAAAAGTCATTGTTCAAACATAATTATCATAATTATCAATAAAAAGATAAAACCTCTGAAAACTGGAATCCTCTGAAAACCGGACTTTTGGTCAATTCCGGACAGGGTCCAGTTTTCAGAGTTTTTACTGTATTGCTCTGCCTTTCTGGTGCTCTTGTTTCTAAATTTGAGGGTGCTTATAGTGGTTTGTGAACTAAGCCTTTTACAATTTACTATCACATCTACAGTGAGAAATTTGCCTAAGAAACTTGATTTCAGATTAAAGTTTTTTAATGTATAAAACTATTAGTTGGTGATGTTTCCCAAGAACTAAATCGTTCTTGTGGCGGCGACCCTCAGGTTATACCAGCATACATCCAGAACAAGGAAAAGCTTTTGGTGTGGCAAAATTGAATCGTGAATCGTCTCGTTAAAAGTGCTATGTACATGTTATTTAATACATATAGGCCATAATCTTGGGACAATAATTCTACAATGCAGGGCATGGTATGTTCATTTCGTAGATCATTTTAGTCGACATCATACAAGAGATAACATGAAATTGCTAATTATTACTCCTCTATTTCCTAATTTGATGACAGTAATGTCTAATCAAATGAATTTGCAGACACCATGTTGAATATTTATGCTTATGGCATATACATACCAAAACACTCTTGTTAATTTTTGCAAAAAAATGAATCTCACCCCACATTAAATTGATTAATGCTGGGAACACGGGTAAACATTCTATTTTAAAGATATACTATGCTCATGTAAGAGTAAAAATTTTTAATCGCCGAAATTTTTCAAAATCTATAGAATTCTCACCGAATAAGTCAAATTTGAATAAAAGAATGAATAAACTATGTATGGGAAGCTGTCTTCATTATTACAGGTCAAGTAAAATTAGTATTTTCTTTAAAAAACTGCAAGTTCTTTTAATGACACTATACATGTACAGTCATATTGTGTCAACCTATAGTGTATAGAGTATTAAACATACTATACATGTATCTATTTCATGTGAATTCAAACCATGTTTATTTTATACATACAAAGAAACTGCGTAGCAATTATCAATATTTTTGAATTTCAAATTTGAGCATAATATATATTTAAAAAAAAGTAAATTCGTAAAATCTTTTCTGAGGGTCAAATTAACAACACAAAATTGAGGTATAAAAGCCATGACATCATATATTTCCATATCTTTTATTATCTAATAACATTTATGTTTTTGTTATTTGTACAGACGGTTATCTGCAAAGCCCGCTTTAAAAGGGAATTGATCTATAAAGGACGATCTGTTATAATATAAATAATTATGTTGATTGTAATTAGTATCAGACATAATAACAAACCAAGAAAGAATTATATATGAATATTGTTTGCAAGTTCGAGATACATGAACTGATATTACATATATTCATATAGCAGGTAATAAATCGTTCTAGAAAAAGAATAATATTATTCATCATATTTAAATGTTCATACTATTTCACATAGAAGAAATTTATCAACAATTTTTATCAGCAATATTTTATAAAAATATATATATGATACACTCGTATTGTTTTTATCAATATTTGAAATACTGATTGAAAATGTACTCATTCAAGACAAATCCGCTTCAAATGGAAAGCATCAAGTTTAGTTAAGAATTTCTTTCAAAACATTAAAATATTAAAAAAAAAACATATTTATTCTTAGAAAAAAAAGCTTCAATATTAACTATCCGCTTTGTTTATTATATAAAACAAAATTGACAAATATACTATTGTATCACAAATATTCTACCCTGTGATATTTGAGAGTTTTATTTTTGTTTGTCATTGATGTTGAGTACGTCAGGTACAATTCTTGTATGATTTGTAAATATTTTACTCATTATTACAATTTCTTATTTAACACAAACATATACTCACACATTTGAAGGTATGTTGCTTAAAACGTGTAAGCATTCGTAAAAAATGTATTATGTATTCACGTATAATAATAATAAAAATAATAATTTGTTTCATTAGGACTGCCTTTACATTGCACCCTTGGCGTCTCAACGGCGTTATCCCAGGGCAGACTTGCTGTTTCCAATTTGACATTGTTGCTACATCCGACATCAATTAGATTGCAGTTTTTTCTTGTGCAGGAATACGCTTTGCAGCAAAGTTGTGTCTTTTTAAAAAAGCCGATATAATATGCGATTCTAGAGTTCAGTCTTCCAGATCCTGAGGCCCTAAATTGACATGAATAACATGTTTTATATCGAACAAATCTTATATTTTGCATATTTGAGAAACATTGTGCTTGATCACAAGAATTCAGCACGAATTATTGGATTAATCTTTTGAGGTTATTGAATAATGAAATGTTTTCACCACTTAATTAAACAATATGTTTGGTACGTAAAAACACAGTAATCAATATACATGCTAAACAAAATAAACTACTTATATATACATTTTATGATTGCAAAAAAATAAACCTTTCAATTAAATTCATATATCCAGAATTATAATACTGTACGTTTGTAACGAACGTCGCTTTTAATTGGATAATCGTGACATTTATGTAATCTATATACACATATAATATAACAAACTGATGCTGCCAGTCTATGAATAAATTGTATTTCTTTTTTTATTCTTAAATATAAGTTTACACACATGTATGTTCTTGACAGTTTATATGATCGTATGCAATAAAGCCCTCGACCTAGCGACACGGGTTATATTTGCAAACAACTGTATATGATAGGGTCATATAACGTGTCAAAAATCTTTATAACTTAAAATGTACCTGCATTCTGGTCCATAAAAAAATGCTGGTGCTCTACAACCAGTACCACCACCTGATCCCAACATCCCAGGCAAACAAAACGCAGCCAGGAAAAGAACAATGATGATAAGCTTGTTTGACGTCATTTCCCTTCAAAAGTAGACCGTTTCAAATACAACAAAATGACATTTATCTAAATGAATAAGTTTTATAATGTTAATACATTTGCTTGGCTGACTAATGAGAGATAAAACGCACAACCAAGAACAACCGGGAGACTCATCCAGTTTCACTGTATTATGATGTTTGTTTGAAAAATTATTTAAAACGTTTTGATTGTAAATACTAAAATTATTGTTATTCAAAGCAGTTAAAACAAACATTTTTAAAAGAATGATAGCAAGTGTATTTATATAAAATATTAATAGTTCCTTAAGTTTTTTTTCAACATGTGTTTTACACGAACAAAATAGCGAGATTTTCAAGTTTGAATTTCATTGACTAGAAATCAGCATGATTTTTTTTTAAATCTACAATTTAGTAAAATCCTTAGTGAAGATCATTTAATGATGTTTATTAAATCATTATCACATTATAAAATTAAATTGAACTTACCTTTTTGTTGATGATTTTAGATCTATCGACGATTATTTTCCTTTGCCAACAATGCTTTGTTATAGTTTCATGTCTCATATATGTCTAAATCGTAACTATATATTCGCGCTTTCGTCTTATTGTAAACATAAGTTTGCAGTTGTTTTTTTCTTGTGGTAACATTCAATATCATTCACAATGCAATCTTTTGTAATGCATAAATGGTTGTTGTTAATTAAGCATGATTTAATATTTTTTGTATATGTAAAATTACTGTTGTTTTCGTATATAACAGGATGTTGTTAACCGCAAACCCCAAAAAAATGTTTTGTTTTCGTTTAAACTTAACTGTTAAATCATGTTTACCAATGAATGAATAACATAATTTAAAACTTTCTGTTGTTAAAGCTTTAAAAGAATATTCGAAAGTACTTACCCCCTTGTTTGTTTGTTTACACTTCATCAATCTTCCAGTATGATTTTTTAGATAAACCTTGATATAATCATGGGATACTGATTTAAATATATAATTCAAGCTATATAAAAACAAATAAAGTAAATAAAGAAAATGAATGAAATAAGAAAATGTATGTATCATAAAACACACTTATACATTTTATACTCTAAAGTAAGTATCCCCTTATATTGTCATAATTATTACGTCTATAAGTAAATCTTTACTTCATCAGATATTGGTAAATTATGTATTTTGCAAGACTTGGATAGTTTTCTTTCCAGCAAAAAACAAAGTTGTCTTTTGTAAATTAGAAGAGATAGAATGCATATTTGTAATAAACTGTTTAATGAATTCCTGGAAAAGCCATTCATTATGTTTTTGAAAGCAGGTGTGATAACCTTTGAACTTTCGAAAAAGCATCAAGTATCTAACTAACAAGTATTGATATGTGCTTTGATCATGCCATCTAACCATTTATTCGAAACATGCGGTAACGTTTCAAGTTGAAAACGTCAGGCTTGAATGGTTCTTATTAAATAGCGTTAATGTTAATAACATGTTTTCCTATTCTTGTTGTTTGTTTGTCTGTTTGTTTGTTTGTCTGTTTGATTGATTGATTTATTGATTGATTAATTGATTGATTGATTGATTGAGTGATTGATTGAGTGATTGACTGATTGGGCTTATGTCACACCAACACTGTACAGGTCATATGGCGATGTTCCAGCTTTACTGGTTGAGGAACCCTCAGGTACCCTTCCGTGCATTATTTCAGGCACGAACGAGTACCTGAGTAGAACTACCGACGTTCCGTAAGGTAGCTGGATATCTCCTTCACATGAAAGGAATATTCTTGTTGTTGATCTGTTCGAACATGCTGTTTGGATCAGTGTTTACATTTCAGTATTGAATATGCCTATTTTGGTGAAATTCCACCTAATTTACTTGTGTTGAATATATTTTTTTTTTCCTGAAGTCTATGAAACAACCATGAACAACAACAAACAACAAATTAAAAAAACATACGAGCCGATGAAATCTCTGATGACCATTTTTGCAGCATATCGGAACGTGCCGGTGATGTGCACAACAAAGGATGGTACTGATCACTCATGTAAAGTTTGGTTGAAATACAATCAGTAGTTTGATCTGTCAAGGGCGGACAAGCTTAATGCGGACGGACGGACAACCGGACGGACGGAAAGACATACGGACGTACAGACAGACGGAAAAGGCAAAAACAATATGCCTCCCAAAAATTTTGGGACACATTATTGAAAGTAACAAACAAGAACAAGATATAATGTTTGCAACATATGTTTATAAGATCTAGACTGACATATACATATTAAACAATATCAAAGATTAACTAAAGCTGTGATTAGGGCATGGTTACATGATATCTTCAATGGGATAGGAACAACAGTTCAAAAACATTCCATTGGTCTTCAGTTCAAATGTTAATGTATTTCGTCTTGTCTTGTCTGATGGTCATAATGTTATTCATAACGTCGAAATTTATTTGACATAAAATGCATACTGTAATATGCAATTAAATCTGTGTATAATTATATATATGCACTGATTAAACTGTGATGAGTTAAAGATTAATTAATGTGAAAATTAATTGAAAAGAATCAAGTAGAGATACAAAAAAGCTATATAGTAATGGATTGTCATTGATGGTATTTCAAGCCATTCCCTGAAATAAAGAGAGAGAAAAAGAAACTAAGTGACAGTTGTTTGTCCCTCAAAATGAACAAACTAATGCTTGTATTACTTATATGTTATATTTTACCATTTTGAAACAAAACGCCAAGAAAACTCAAGAAATTGCACTTCCGAAGAGTTAACTTTACAATTAAAATAAAAACATAAATCAATCATATTAATGACAAGCCTTTGCCAATGTAATAGAAAAACTGAAAATAAAATTACTAAATATTCTTATATGGCTAATTGTCACTTTTCGTAACATATACATTCGGATGAGTGAAGAAATATTTAATTGTCAAAATGCAAAACACTCACTCAAATAGTGCTTGATAATACAAAGTTTACTTTTTCTTCTTTTTCCCTATCATAACATCGCCCACTTTCTTGATACCTCTGAATGGACCAGCTATAATGTTGGCACCAACAATGAACAGAGCTGCTGCTATACCAGCTAGAGGTCCGTTCTCCTTCCCGAAGTCATTTGCAGCATCGAGACCTGAAGCGAGGAACTTTATGTAATAAAGAACCTTCGACAATAAATATTATCATGTATCAGTAGTTGGTTGATAAAATAGAGAAAAACAGAATCCCTAAAGAAAGTCCAACACAACAAAATTGAAAATGTTGCAGGCTCGGTTTGATTGAGCCTGTTCATGGACGGTACTGGAAAGTGCAAGTTACCGTCCACGTCCCTTTCCTACGGCTTAAGCGAATTCAACATTTAACACGAAAATGGTAAAATTTTGAAGTATTCTTTCTAACGTGTTTTCATTCATCTTTTTCATTGTTATTTCAACAATAAAGACGTATATTCGCGGGCGGTTTTGAGAGCATTGCGCGTGCATGTATAAGTGTATATGTTATACTAATTATAACACTTAATGAAGATCTTATGTTTGAATAATGAGTTGCATCTCATATCGGTACAAAAGTATTAACACCAACAATCTCCAGCTCAAACAAGTCCAAAATAAATTTTATCGTTTTTACTGTTTACAAACATTTAGGTTGTTTTTAAGGTGGTGACATGCGTGTGTTTTTATTTATCGTGCGCACAAGATATTCTGTCGTGGCCACGAGTAACTAAGTCGTGACCACGAGTTTCTAAGTCGTGGCCACGAGATAATTAAATGGTGCGCCCGAGATACTGTGTCGTGGCCACGCGTTACTTAGTCGTGGACACGAAATAATAGATAGGTCCGCACGAGAAACATGTACTATGTCATGGTCATAAGTAACTAATTCGTGGCCACAAGATAATTAAGTCGTGCGTCGATTTATTTATCTCATGGCCACGACTTAGTAACTCGATGCCAAGGCATAGTATTTCGTGTGCACAACTTACTTATCTCGTGACCACGACTAAGTAACTTGTGACCACGACATAGTATATCGTGTGCACGACTAAATTATCTCGAAGCCACGACATAGTATCTCGTGCGGACCACTTAATTATTTCGTGGCCGAGACTTATTAACTTGTTCTCAAGGCATAGTATCTCGTGCGCACGAGATAAATAAAAACGCACACATGTCACCTTTGCGCCACTGTATGTTTTATCTAAGATTCCGTGATATTTTCATTGGTTCAACTCATTGTTCTTGTTATTTTTGTATCGATTTTGTCTGAGACATCACGTTTACCTTTTCCTGCACCATAAACAAGGCCACCTGCGGCAGCTACCGGCACCCACAGCGGAGCTGTCCCTACTGTCGAAGCTACTTTAATAACCTCTTCGTCAGACATTTCCCTAATCAAAGAAACTATTTCATAGATATATTGCTGCAGTGGCTTTTGTACATTCCAGTCACAAAATATAGCATTTAATTTTAATATTATCTAACATTGTATAATGTTTGAAAGTCCAAGGTTATTTAAACAGAAAGTGGACTCTTCTAAAGCAAATAACAGTATCTTAAATAATAATCTTATCGGCAGGTGAACGTTGATTTTTTTGTATATTTTGCCCAACAAGCACGTTATTGTCATATAACTTAATATGTTGCAAATCTTAGAATTAAATAATACTAAAACCATTGACTTTATTTTGTTTACTGTCCCTCCTTTCTTGAAAAAGCCTAAAATATATTATAATCATTTGTTTATTTAAATCACCACTGTTCTCAACTTGCATGGACCTCATTTAGAGGAAATGGATGCATGTTAATGTAATTTTATTCTTTTTATTGTAAAGTGTTTTTGTGAAACAATTTTTTAAACAATTTATCAAAGTTTTGTGCACACGGAAGCAAATAATGGACCGCAAGTCATGTTGTATCATGTTTCATTGATTTTGATTCTCCTTTGTCGATATGAAATAATGACTAGACTGTCTTTAATAGATAATAATAAACCTATTGTCAAAAACAAAACAAAAAACAGTAATGTACACACTGGCAGTGTTTGGGATTATTATAAAGAATAGTGTTTCTTACATAGAAAGCTTAATAAACATAAAACGATAAATGATTCAGATAATTATGTGGAAGCAAAAAGGATAATAACCAGAAATATCTCAATAAATCAAAACTTACGTTTCTAATATCCAATTTGCAATTCAACACCGTTTTTCAATGAAGTTATGCCAATGCTATGTATAAAATCACTTTATGGAACAGAGCCAGTTATTTCAAACAAACGCAGGTCTGGTATATCAAAAGACCCTCGTTTAAAATTTAAAATGATCTTTTCATACAGTCATGAACAAAAACGTAATGTTATATAATCGATATGTCGTTTTAAAATTTAAACATGATCATAAATTACCGAAATCTATACATGTAATAACGTTATATCGGTGTGAAAATTGCTTCATAATTTAACTAGGTTAAGAAAACACCCGGGTTATAGGTTATAGTCGCAGCACGAAAATAGTATTTAAATAAAAACCATAACGAATACTGAAACTAAAGTAAACAAAAAGTGAACAAAATGGCATTCTCTGGAATTAACCCACCAACATAAACTGGGACAGTGTTAATTTACCTACAACATGGGAAAAATCTGAAAGGAATGTCAAATTAATATTCAGTGGACCCCTCATAAAATCAGAGGAAGAGAGAATAAATTATTTGCATACCTTCTAATATGGGTAGGAGAAAAGGGGCAAGATATGATGCAATCCTGGAATTTAAACGCAGTTGATGAATTAAAAAGATCGACACATTCTTCACAAAATTTCAAAGTCACTTTCATCCTAAACTTAACCCAATTTTTGCAAGTTACCGATTCAATAACGAAAGGCAGGGTGAAGAAACAATAGAACAATTCGTCACAAGATTTAAACTGAAAGCAAATGAATGCAGATACCAATAGCACAACGGACAAAATGATCAGAGACCGCATTGTTTTCGGGGTAAATAACCAAAGACTGAGGGAAAAATAATTAACGAAGAAGAATCCTTAACATTGGACAAGGCAATTCAATTATCGCAAAATTTCGAATACTTTAAAAAAACAAATGAACATTCTTAACCCAAAACAAGATGTAAATTACGCCAAACATGGATGTGCCAACTCGGATACAGCGCTGTCAGGATCGACACGAAACAGAAGTCTAAAACAACAACCTGTAGAAATTGTGGAACATACCATGACATCACACACAAAAAGAAATACCCGGCATATGGATAGAAGTGCAAATCATGCAAAAAGTAAAATCATTGGGCAAAAGTATGCCGTTCAAACAAACAGAAACATGTTCATGAATTTTCGAACAATTTAAATGAAAATAGTGATGACTCTTACATGTATATAGATAATTATTTCATTGACACGTAAGCAACCAAATATTGCCAGCCCCAAATCGCGCATTTGTTTACATTAAGATTGGCCTGAAATGCCAAAACATTAATGTCAAACTTGATACAGGTAGCAGCGTTAACATACTCTCTAAGCGCAAACTTGAATCGCTCAGCATAAGAATCCCTTTTCTAAACTTATCTCGTACTCAGGTGATACAATTTAAGTTATAGGAAAGATCAGTTTAACCTGTAGCTATCGTAGAGAATTAGACTTCTATGTCGTAAACAGTGACGCGCCGACACTTATAGGATTACAGACACCCATTGACATCGGGTTAATTAAACTCACATACGACAAACTGCCAAAATACTCAGTACATGACTAAAGAATCATTTATGTCTTAATACGGTGATTTGTTCTGGGGCGTAGGCATACTCCCTGGTAAAAGCAAACTACACCTGCTTGATGACGCTATTCCAGTAATTACACCTCCGAGATGTGTACCGGTACACCCAATGTTCAAATCGCGACTTAAGCTTGACCTTCAGCAAATGGTCAAAGACGAAATTATAACGCCAGTGACGGAACCAACGAGCTGGGTACACCCAATTCTAGTTGTAGAAAACCCGAATGGAAAATTACGTATTTGCCTAGACCCAAAACAGCTCAATTTAGCAATACTAGGACTTCATTATGTCAAATCAACACTTGATGACGTAACAGCAAAGCTCGATGGAGCTAAATACATTAGCATGTTAAATCGTATTCGTGCATATTGGTCTGTACAACTAGACAAACAATCGTCTTACGTCACAACATTCGCCAGTCGTTTCGGTAGACACAGGTACTTAAGGTTACCATACGGTATATCATCATCAAGTGATATATTTTTTCAAAAGGTCAATCAGATATTCGAAGGAATAAACGGAATACAAACTCTTGTTGATTTTTATTTTAATATGGGGAAGCTACCAATGTGAACATGATAAACATCTAACACAGGTCTTATTACGCGTGAGTAAGGTATCCGTTTTAATGAATAAAAATGCACCATTTGTGCCAAATCGGTACTATTCTTTGGTCATATCATCACAGAAAGTGGGTTAAAAGCTGACCCGTCTAAGACCGAAGCAACCATGAAATTGCCAATCGTCGAAAAGGTCGAAAGGCCCTTGAGAATGGTCAATTACCTTTCTAAATTCGCGCCAAATCTAGTAGAAGTTACAGCCCCCTTACGGGGCCTCTTAAAAATTCAGAGTTTATTTGGGATCATGTTCATAAATGAGCATTTTCTCAGATCAAAGATATTATAACAAAGGCACCAGTATAACCCGACAAATACTGGAAACGGACGCTTCGAAATTAGGAGTTGCTTATTGTCTATTTCAAGAAGATAAACCTATCGCATTCACAAGCAAAAGCCTGACGCGAACTGAAATCGGTAATGGTGTCATTGAAAAAGAAATGCTTGGTATTTTGTTCGGATGTAAACGGTTTCTTCAATTCACTTATGGTAGAAATGTTTTTGTACACTGCGATCACAAAAAAATATCTGCCATTATAAAAAAAAACAATGTCTGCAGCACTTCCTAGATTATATAGAATGCTACTAGCTCTGTCCAAATATCAGTTAATCGTAAAGAAATACAAGTTAGTAACTGCCTATCACGGCAATGTCTCCCTGATACATATTTAAATATGTTGACGACCATGATTATTACGTGCATACCGTTAAAAAACAATTGCACATTATCGACCAACGAATAGAATAAGCCAAAACGTGCAAAGACGCAAAAATGAAAACTCTGAAAGATACTATATTAAACGGCTGGCCAGAATCTAGAGCAAAGTGCGAGCAATCAATCTTGATTTCTGGCATCACCACGATGAGGTAAGCAGGAAAAAGTTTAATGTTTGAAAACAATGCTTTGTTAAAGTTTAATGTTAAGTATGTTTGTCTAAGCTAAGCTGTTATATCATGTTTACCAATGCAAAATTTCAAGTTATTTTGCAGAATTAGCACACTGTTAATGCTTTAAAAGAATATTCGGAAATACTTTCCGTTTTTGTTTACACTTCATCAATACTTAAAACTAACTAATAGCTATTGGTACGGGTTTCGATCATGAAATCAAATCATATATTGGAAACATACGGTAACGCTTCCAGTAGATAATCGCCAGTCTTGATTGGTTCTTGTAGAACAACGATTGTGTAAATCACATGCTTTAACATTCTTGTTGTTGATCTGTTCGAACATGCTGTTTGGATCAGTGTTAACATTTCAGTTATGAATATACCTATTTTTGGTGTAATTCCACCTGGTAAACAATTTTTTTTTTTTTGCTAAAAACTAAGAACCATGATTGAACAACAAAAAAAACACCCGGCCAGGTGAAATCTTAGATAAATATTTATTTCAGTAGCATGACTTACACTTATCAACTTGACACAAAAACAGTAATAATTGAAATGTTATGAATATTGTAAGGGGAGATTGTTATTCAGTAAACAATAAAAAAAAGTGAGAGTGTTTAATGCTTAGTCTGCTGGTGGCAAATGCACCTACGCATGCAACCATTGCAGACCAAGATCAGCTGGTACGTCTACGCCGTAAAGTCATGGTCTGCGCATCAGCTATTCATTATTCAGGCAAATGCTACATATTTTGAAATTTTCTTGTAAAAAAGATGAACAGTTTTATACTGTTTGAACAATGGACAAGTCAATTTAAAATATTTGGCGTTGCAAGGGGTTAAGGAAATGTAAATGGTACGAATAAATTATGCTTTTCAACCTATTTGTGATTTCTGTAGAAATGATTCGGAAAAGTATCACATTGTATAATTCATTATTTCTGACTTAGAAATTGTGACTGCATCATGAAATGTTAATTAAATAAAGTAACAAACAAGACGAGATATAATGTTTGCAACATATGTTTATAAGATCTAGACCGTCATATTCATATTAAACAATATCAAAGATTAACTAAAGCTGTGATTAGGACATGTTTATATAATATTTCCAATTGGATAGGAACAACACTATAAAAACATTCCTTTGGTCTTCATTTAAATGTTAATATATTCTCCGTGTCTGGTTATCATAATGTTATTCATAACGGCGAAATTTATTTAATGTCAAATGCAAATTCCACTGTGCCATTTAATCTGTGTATAAGTATATAGACTTTTTTAATTGAAGCGCTAGCAGACGACACGTGTACTGATTAAACTGTGATAAATTAAAAATAAATTAATGTGAAAATTAATTGAAAAGGATCAGGAAGAGATCATGAAAACAATATTTTATAGTAATTGATTGACTGATCTTCATACAAGTCATTCCCTGAAATAAAGAAAAGAAAAAAAAACTAAGTGCCTCAAAATGAACAAACTTATGTTTTATTACTTATATGTTATATTTTACAATTTGAAACAAAACGTCAAGAAAACTCAAGAAATTCCGTTGCCACTGAAATACCTTTCAATAAAAAAAACATAAATTAATCATCTTAAAGACAAGCCTTTGCCAATGTTACAGAAAAAAAGGAAATTAAAATTACTAAATGTTCTTATATACGTTTCTGAAGTAGGCTAATTGTCATTTCTCGTAACATATACCTTCGGATGAGTGATGTCAAAATACAATATACTCACACAATGCTACACAATACATTGTTCACTTTTTGTCTTCTTTCCCTATCATCACATCGCCCACTTTCTTGATTCCAATGAATGGACCAGCAATAATGCAGCCGGCAACAATGAAAGGGGCTAATGCTATACCAGCTATAGGGCCAACCTCTTTCCCGATGTCATTTGCAATTTCCAAGCCTGAAGCAAGGAATGTTATGCAATAAAGAACCTTCTTAAATATTTTTTACATGTATCCGTAATTGATAAAGTCTTCTTTCTAACGTGTTTCATTCCTTTTTTTCATTGTTATTTTAAAAGACGTACATTCGCGTCTTGTTTTGAGAGCATTGGGCGTGCATGTATAAGTGTATATGTTATAATAATTATAAAACTTAATGAAGAACTTATGTTTGAATAATGAGTTACATCAAAAGTCTCCGCTCAAACAAGTCCAAAGGTGTCAACTTCTGATAATATTATATACATATAATTTTACTCATCTTTTTTATACTGTTTACAAACGTCTAGGTTGTTTACGGTAGCACAGAGGTGACATGCTTGTGTTTTTATTTATCTCGTGCGCACGGGATACTTTGTCGTGGCCACGAGATACTATGCCGTGGTCAACAGTAACTAAGTCGTGGCCACGAGATAATAAGGTGCGCACGAGATACTATGTCTTGACCACGAGTTACTAAGTCGCGACCACGAGTTACTAAGTCGTAGCCACGAGATAATTAAGTGGTGCGCACGAAATACTATGTCGTGGCCATAAGTTACTAAGTCGTGGCCACGAGATAATTAAGTGGTGCGCACCAGATACTATGTCGTGGGCACGAGTTTCTAAGTCATGGGAACAAGATAATAAAGTCGTGCAAACGACATTATCAACCAATCAGATTACAACAGTTATATGAATTTTCCTAGTTAACTAGGAATGTGCTATAGGACAAGGATGCCACTACTTAATCTGCCTGTCAAAGTGCCATTTATACAAGTTATTGATTGAACAATGATTTTACATTTAGCGTCTTTGTGACCCTTTGACCTAACGACCTCAAAATTATTAGGTGTCATCTTCTGATCAGATGCAATGATCTTTATAGGTTATACAAACCATGGCTCATTCCTTCTTAGTAAATTATCAGACAAGGGTTTTACATGAAGTGTCATGGTTACCTCATGAAGTGTCATGGTTACCTTGACCCTTGACCTCAAACATCCTAATAGGCTATTTAATGGGCATAGGCAATGTCCCCACCAAATAAAATTAACCAGGACTTATTCCTTTTCAAGTTATTGTACAAACAAGGTCAACGGACCGTTGTGCGTACATACTGACCAATTTTATCACAGAGTTGCCATAACTTAGTCAAAATTAATGTCTTATTTGTGGCCGTGGAGGATGGCTTTCTAATATGATCCTAAAGACATGTATCAAGTTTTAAGTTCATCAATATTTTCAAAGATTAATAAGGCATGTAAAACTTTAAAAACGAATTTATTTTCTAAGTTTGAAAAATATATATATAATTAGTGTAATCTGATTGGTTAATTATCTCTGCGCACGACTTAATTATTTTTTGGCCACGACATAGTATATCGTGCCAACGACATAGTATCTCGTGCGTACGACATAGTTATCTCGTGGCCACGACCTAATAACTCGTGGCCATGACATAGTATCTCATGCGCACCACTTATTTATCTCGTGGCCACGACTTTCCCTAATTCAGAAAACTTTTGCACGGAAAAAAGTTACCTTTCTTGCATGTAATTCTAACAAAGCTTTTTTCACTAACGGTATTGTTAAACATTATATTATGTGGACCTGGAGCAAAGTTTGTAGGGCACTCTCTTTTCTTTTAGACAACATTTATGTCAGGTTTGGAAATACCCTATTCAAACAGATCATAGGTATTCCTATGGTACTTATTGGGCACCCTTGGTCGCCGATTTGTTTTTGTTCTGCTATGAAAGAGACTTTATGTTGAGTCTCTCTGAATATACACAACAAAACAGTTATAGTAGCTTTTGATAATACTTCCAGATACCTTGATGATATTTTTAATTTAGATAATTCTTATTTTGATCAAATGGTGTCTGATATTTATCCCCATGAACTTCTACTTAATAAAACGAACACTTGAAATTTTGGTACATCTATTTTGGATCTTCCTTGTGTCCCTAGCTTTGTTTCTTTATTTCGCCCCCCCCCCCTCACCGAATTTCCTAACCCCCCCCCCCTTCCCCTGTGCCCTTTTGTTAGTGGACCTATCAATCAATTATTTATTAATTTTCTTTTATTTTGATTTCCTTGTCGGTTACTATTACTTCTTATGTAACATTTAAAGTGATAAGCCTGTCCATGCCCTCCTTTGCGCCCTGTCATGTTTTTGTTTGGGGTCCTCCTGGGCTCCTTGCCGCTAGTTCTTGTTGCTGGGTCGTGTCGGGGTTGCGTTCCTTGAACGCCACCTTTCCTTGTTGATCTTGTTTATCATATTTTAGTTACTCGTGGCCACGACATAGTATCTCGTCTGCACGACTTATTTATCTCGTGGCCACGATTTGGTAACTCGTTGCCAAGACACAGTATTTCGTGCGCACCACTTAATGATATCGGGCCACGACTTAGTAACTCGCGGTCACGACATAGTATCTCGTGCGCACGTGATAAATAAAAACGCACAAATGTCACCTTTGTGCCACCGTATGTTTTATCTAAGACTCAGTAATATGTTTTCTTTGGTTCAACTCGTTGTACTTGTTATTGTTTGTATCGATTTCGTCTAAGACAACACGTTTACCTTTTCCTGCACCATAAATAAGGCCACCTGCGGCGGCTGCCGGCACCCACAACGGAGCTGTCCCTACTGTCGCCGCTGTTTTAATTATCTCTTCGTCAGACATTTTCCTAATCAAAGAAACTATTTCATAGATATATTGCTGCAGTGGCTTTTGTACATTTCAGTCACAAAATCAAGCATTTTATTTTAATCTTATCTAACATTGTATAATGTCTGAATCAAAGTTTATTAAAACAGAAAGAGGTCTATAACATTTATCTTAAATAATTTGGATACCTTCTCGACAGGTAAACATTGATGTTTTGGTATATCTGGTAATATTTTTGTCCAACCAGCATTTCATTGTCATATTACTTTTTATGTTGCAAATCTTAAAATTAAATTATTATCAAGCCATTGACTTTATATAGTTCACTGTCCTCCCTTTCTTCACTGAATTAGCTAAAAAATATATTATAATCATTTGTTTTCTTAAATCACCACTGTTTAAATTTTGGCCCCGGCCCCTTTTTTGATGGAAGGATGCATTTTTAAATGAAATTTTTATTCTTTTTTTAATGTGTAAAGTTTTTTCGTACAAAACTTTTTAAAAAATTTTATCAAATTTTTTAATGCACACGGAAGAAAAGGGAAGGGGCCCCGAAATCATGTTTTATCATGTATCATTGTTTTTTTGATTCCCCAAATTTTTCGATATAAAAATAATGCCCAAATTCCCCTTTAAGAGATAAAAAAAATTTCTTCCCGATGGGCCCTTAAAAGTCAGAAACAAAAAAAAAAAGCAGTAATGTACACACTGACAAACATTTTGTTTAATTATAAAGAATAGTTTTTCTTACAAATATAAAACGATTATAATTATATGATTCAGATAATTTTCTGGAGGCTAAATTGGATAATAATCAGAAATATCAATATATCAAAACTTACGTTTCTAATATCCTATTTGCAGTTAAACACCGTTTTTCAATGAAGTTATGCCAATGCTATGTATAAAATCATGTCCTGGAACAAAGTCAGTCATTTAAAACAAAAGCAGGTCTGGTATAACAAAAGACCCTCGTTTTAAATTTAATATGATTTTTTCATATTTTTTTTTACAGTCATAAACAAAATATTAATGTTATATAATCAATATGTCGTTTTAAAATTTAAACCATGATCATAAATGTCCGATCTCTTTACATGCAATAACGTTTTTTCTGTGTGAATATCCATGTTATAGGTTATAGTCGCAGCATGAAAAAGCTTTTTTTAAATAAAAACATAACGATTCCTGAACTGTCTTAAAAAGGCTCATTATTTTTTCAAAGCGATTATAGAAATTGTTCTATATTGATAAATCTTAAACAGACTTTAGTTGTTGATAAGCTCCGCCTTTACAATATGCTACATGTAATTTCACTTGTGTATTAAATCTTGGAATATAAAATAGATAAATACAGAGTCCCTAAAGAAAGCCCAACACGGCAAAATTGAAAATGTTGCAGGCTCGGTTTGATTGTAAAATAAAATAGAATTTTGAAAGGGGATCAGAGGTTATGAAGCCTGCGTATCACAGATAAGACATCAAAAGACAAATTTAAAAAGCAGGCAAAATATCCTAAGGGTGATTCAACATTATTCAAGTAGGAATATTGGAACCACCCAACTAGGAAATGCCGAAAAGTTGAAACTAAAAATACCACAAGCACAACAATAATGTCGTGCTGAACGATCTTCAAGGATCGAAAATATAACATCATTGATTAAATGTACGGGGAGACTTTTTACAGCCGCCACACGGCCCCAAAAAAACAGGGGAGTGTTTCTTTAAAATAGTTTAAATACAGATTTCCTAAAAAAAGCCCCAACCGGAAAAATTTTAAAAATGTTGCAGGCTCGGTTTCATTGAGCCTGTTCATGGACGGTACTGGAAAGTGCAAGTTACCGTCCACGCCCCCTAGCACCGGCTTAAGCAGAATTCAACATTTAAACATGAAATAGTAAAATTTGGAATTTAGAAAACATCCGCAGATGTGTTCATACGGCGGTTATCATGGAACCTTCAATGTGACACTTCCGTGCCATTCCATGAAAAGCGGCGTATGGTCCCCAAGTAATAAAAAGCGTGTGCCCCTAAACGAGAAAACAATGGGCGGAACTAAATAAAATAGAATTTTGAAAGGGGATCAGAGGTTATGAAGCCTGCGTATCACAGATAAGACGTCAAAAAGACAAATTAACAAGGGTGCCATAGTCACAAAATACGCCCGTTTACAAAAGCTTTAGATGGATATGGGGGCATTATGGATAAGTGTTATCTAGCAAGCAAGTTTTTATTCTTGGCACTGTGTTGTTAAATGAACCTTAAAACAAATCAGTAGGGAAGATATGCACAGGATGTGTGACCTTGACCTTGGTCGCAGGGACCTGAATTGTATGCACGGCACTCAGCCTCACAATGATGAACATTTGCGCCAAATTATATTGAAATCCCTCTATGCATGTAGAAGTTTTGCTCCAGACAAGCGTTTTTCTATGAGCTCTAACTGTGACCTTCACCTTTGACCTAGAGACTTGGTTCATGTGCAGGACACACTACGTCTCATGGTGGTGAACAATTCTACAAAAGTAACATTAAAATTCCTCCATGCATGTAGAAAATATGCTCCGGACAACATCTGGATATTTAATCTTCTCCAGTGACCTTGACCTTGCAAATATTAACCTATATTAAATGTGTCACACCTGTAGTCATGATAGTTACCATTTGTGCTACAATCCATCAATAAATGATGACTAAATGGTCCCTATACACATCTTCAAATTTTTTATCTGAACTTTGACCTCTATGTGTAACCTTGACTTTGGTCGCAGGGATCTGAATTTTTGCGTGCAACACTCAGCCTCACAATGGTGAACATTTGTGCCAAGTTATATTGAAATCCCCCTATGAATGTAGAAGTTTTGCTCCGGACAATCGTTTTTAAAATGAGCTCTAAGTGTGACCTTGACCTTTGACCTGGAGACCTGGATCATGCATGGAGCAATACATATCATGGTGGTGAACATTTCCATAAAGTATTATAAAAATTCTTCCATACATGAAGGAGATATGCTCCAGACAAAATCTGGATATTTCACCATCTTTAGTGACCTTGAGCTTGCATATATTGACCTAAAGTACATGTGTCACAGCCGTAGTCATGATAATGACCATTTGTGTTACAATCCCTCAATAAATGATGATTAAATCGTCCCTATACACATCTTCATATTTTTATCTAAACTTTGACCTCTATGTGTGACCTTGACCTTGGCTGCAGGGACCTGAATGTTGTGCGCGACACTCCGCCTCACAATGGTGAACATTTGTGCCAAGTTATATTGAAATCCCTCTATGCATGTGGAAGTTTTGCTCCGGACAAGCGTTTTTCAATGAGCTCTATGTGTGACCTTGACCTTTGACCTAGAGACCTAGTTCATGTGCGTGACATGGTTTCTCATAATCGTGAACATTTCTATGAAATTTCATTAAAATCCCTCCATGCGTGTAGGAGATATGCTCCGGACAAAATCTGGATATTTCATCATCTTTAGTGACCTTGACCTTGTATATATTGACCTAAATTATATGTATCACAGCCATAGTCTTGATAATGACCATTTGTGTTACAATCCCTCAATAAATGATGACTAAATGGTCCATATACACATCTTCATATTTTAATCTGAACTTTTGACCTCTATGTGTGACCTTGACCTTGGGCCGCAAGGACCTGAATCTTGCGCGCAACACTCCGCCTCACAATGGTGAACATTTGTGCCAAGTAATATTGAAAATCCCTCTATACATGTTGGAAGTTTTGCTCCGGACAAGCATTTTTCAATGAGCTCTAAGTGTGAAAAAACCCTTGACCTTTGACCCCTAGAGACCTTGTTCATGTGCGCGACACTGCTCCTCATAGTGGTGAACATTTCTATGAAGTTTCATTAAAATCCCTCCATACATGTAGGAGATATGCTCCGGACAAAATTGGACAAAACCGACCGCCCGACCGCCCGCCCGCCAGGGGCGTTCCATAATACGCCCCTTTTTTTCAAAGGGGCCCTTTTAAAAAGCAGGAAAACATATCCTAAGGGTAAAATTCAACATTATTAAAAGTAAAAAAATTTTAGGAACCCCCCAACTAAAAAAGGGCCAAAAATTTTGAAACAAAAAAATACCACAAGCACAAAAAATAATGTCGGGGTTTAAACCCCATTTTTAAAAGGACCCCAAAAATAAAAACACCCATTGATTAAATGTACGGGGGGGATTTTTTTACAGCCGCCACACGGCACAAATAACACGGATGTGATCATAAAATAGATAAATACAGAGTCCCTAAAGAAAGCCCAACACGGCAGAAATGAAAATGTTGCAGGCTCGGTTTGATTGAGCCTGTTCATGGACGGTACTGGAAAGTGCAAGTTACCGTCCACGCCCCCTAGCACCGGCTTAAGCAGAATTCAACATTTAAACATGAAATGGTAAAATTATATATAGACATACTCTTGTTGCCTCTTACTAGTTAAAATTGCACAGTATGATATTTTACCTGGACATCTCATTCAAGATATAATATTCTCGATAATATACTTGTCACTAAAACAAAACATACAACATGGTGTCAGAAGTAATGGTAATTTAATTCAACTTCATCTGAAATTTGGATCAAATTTATATTGACTTAATCTTATATAAAAAATGTGATCAAAATGGCATTCTGAGGAATTAACCCACCAAACATAATCTGGAACAGTGTGAATTACCTACAACATGGCAAAAATTGAAAAGAATGTCAAATTAATATTCAGTGGACCCCTCAAAATAATCAGAGGAAGAGAGAATTGCATCCCGTCTTATATGGGTAGGAGAAAAAGGGGCAAGATATTATGCAATCCTGGAATTTAAACGCAGATGATAGAAAAAATTCGTCACATTCTTCACAAAATTTCAAAGTCACTTTCATCCTAAACTTAACCCAATTTTTGCAAGTTACCGATTCAATAACGAAAGGCAGGGTGAAGAAACAATAGAACAATTCGTCACAAGATTTAAACTGAAAGCAAATGAATGCAGATACCAATAGCACAACGGACAAAATGATCAGAGACCGCATTGTTTTCGGGGTAAATAACCAAAGACTGAGGGAAAAATAATTAACGAAGAAGAATCCTTAACATTGGACAAGGCAATTCAATTATCGCAAAATTTCGAATACTTTAAAAAAACAAATGAACATTCTTAACCCAAAACAAGATGTAAATTACGCCAAATATGGATGTGCCAACTCGGATACAGCGCTGTCAGGATCGACACGAAACAGAAGTCTAAAACAACAACCTGTAGAAATTGTGGAACATACCATGACATCACACACAAAAAGAAATACCCGGCATATGGATAGAAGTGCAAATCATGCAAAAAGTAAAATCATTGGGCAAAAGTATGCCGTTTAAACAAACAGAAACATGTTCATGAATTGTCGAACAATTTAAGTGAAAATAGTGATGACTCTTGTGTGGATAACTATTTCATTGGCACAGAAAGTCACAAAACATCGCTAGCCCAAAATCGCGCGTTTGTTGACAATAAGATTGGCCCGAAATGCCAAGACATTAATTTCAAACTTGATTCAGGTAGCAGCGTTAACATACTCTCAACCCGCAATTTTGAATCGCTCAACATAAGAATCCTTTTGCAGGCACCCGATTCTAAATTTATCTTGTACTCTGATGATACAATTAAAGTTATAGGAAAGATCCAGTTTAACATGTAGCTATCGTAGAGCCCAAGTTACTGTATACTTCTATGTCGTAAACAGTGAGGCGCCACAACTTATAGGATTACATTCATTGACCTTGGGTTAATTAAACTTACATACGACAAACTGCCAAAATACTCAGTACATGACTAAAGAATCAGTTATGTCTGAATACGGTGATTTGTTCTGGGGCGTAGGCATACTCCCTGATAAAACCAAACTACACCTGCTTGATGACGCTATTCCAGTAATTATACCTACGACATGTGTACCGGAAGCGCTCAAATCGGGACTTAAGCTTGAGCTTCAGCAAATGGTCAAAGACGAAATTATAACGCCAGTGACGGAACCTACGGACTGGGTACACCCCATTGTAGTGGTAAAAAACCCGCATGGAATATTACGTATTTGCCTGGACCCAAAACAGCTCAATGAAGCAATACGTAGACCTCATTATGTCACATCAACATTTGCAAAGCTCGATGGAGCTAAATACTTTAGCATGTTAAATCGTACTCATGTATCTTGGTCTGTACAACTAAACAAACAATCGTCTTACGTCACAACATTCTCCACTCCTTTCGGTAGATACAGGTACTTACGGTTACCATACGGTATATCATCATCAAGTGATATATTTTCTCAAAAGGTCAATCAGATATTCGAAGGAATAAACGGAATACAAACTCTTGTTGATTTTTATTTTAATATGGGGAAGCACCCAATGTGAACATGATAAACATCTAACACAGGTCTTATTAAGCGCGAGCAGAGTATCCGTTTTAATGAACATAAATGCACCATTGGCGCCAAATCGGTACCATATTTTGGTCATATCATCACATAAAGTGGGTTAAAAGCTGGCCCGTCTAAGCAACCATGAAATTGCCAATCCCCGAAAAGGTCGAAAGGCCTTTAGGAATGGTAAATTACCTTTATAAATTCGCGCTAAATCTAGCAGAAGTTACAGCCCCCTTACAGAGCCTCTTGTAAAAAGATACAGAGTTTATTTGGGACCATGTTCATAAATGAGAATTTTCTCAGGTCAAAGATATCATAACAAAGGCACCAGTATGACCCGGCAAAGTCGTTTATACTGGAAACGGATGCTTCAAAATGAGGAGTTGCTTATTGTCTATTTCAAGACGATAGACCTATCGCATTTAAAGCAAAAGCCTGACGCAAACTGAAATCGGTTATGCTGTCATTGAAAAAGAAATGCTTGGAATTTTGTTCGGATGTAAACGGTTTCATCAGTTCACTTTTAGTAGAAACGTTTTCGTACACTGCGATCACAAAATAATATCTGCCATTATAATGAAAAAACCAATGATTATCTAGAATGCTACTAGCTCTGTTCAAATATCAGTTAATCGTTAAGCCAATCCTGGTAAAGAAATACCAGTTAGTCACTGCCTATCACGACAATGTCTCCCTAATACATACTGATCTTGATAGTTACGTGCATACCCTTCAAAAACAATTGCACGTTAGCGACCAACGAATGGAAAATATTCGAACCGAAACGTGCAAAGACGCACACATGAAAACTCTGAAAGATACTATATTAAACGGCTGGCCAGAATCTAGAGCAAAGTGCGATGAGTGACCTAATAGTTCGAGGTCATACTATTGTAATGCCACAAAAAATTGGGAAATGAACTTGTACAGAAAGTTCATACAGGTCACATGGGAATTATGAAGACACTTGAATGTGCTTAAGATTCATTTTTCTGACCAGGCATGTCCAAGCAAATAAAAGAATATGTAAGCAAATATAGCATATGTCTGTTATACCGCGACCCGAACACAAAAGAACCGCTAATGACCACAGAATTCCCTGACCGATCTTACAAAATATAGCAGCACACCTGTTCCATTTCAAGGTTAAGAGTATCCTTTGACTATAGATTACTATTCGAGATTCTTGGAAGTAAACTATTTACCAAACACTACATCAAAAACCGTTATTCTCAAACTTCAGAAACGTATGTCACAAATGTCAATACCTGAAGTATTTGTCTAGGACAACGGTAGTCAATTTTCAAGCTCTGAATTCAAAAAGGGGGTTAGAACACAGAACTTCCTCCTCCGGATATCCCCAGTCGAACGGTCTTGCGGAAAAAGATGTTGGTATCGCGAAAAAACTAATGCAAAAAGCTAAAGATACAAACATTTACATTGCATTACTAGAATACCTCAATACACCTCTTAAGTGCGGATATTCTCCTAGTCAACTGTTAATCGGCCGGAGAACAAAATCCATCGGCCAGTTACAAATAAAGAGCTGATACCCATTTAAGTAAATAACTCAAAAGTGCACAGTCTATTGAAATAATCGAAAGACAAACAAAAGGTTAATTACGACAAAAATGCTAAATATTTGCCACCTTTGCCATTGAATCAATCAGTACGCATTAAAAAAAAGGAAAAACTTAGGAAACGCTGGAAAATAGTAAAGGAACACAGTGACCGCTCCTATCATATACAACATGCTGACGGCAGCATATATCGGAGAAATCGGTCAGTATTACACAAAAGTCCGAATAACACAACCGATATTGAATCATTTCTTTCGCAAGTCCTAGATCATAATAAAAATTTAAGTACTCCTCAATTATCTCTCGAAGAAAATAATTCATCTCAGGAACAACGTCCCTATCAACGATTATTTCCCTTTGTCAACAATGCTTTGTTATAGTTTAATGTTAAGTATATTTGTTTTTATCATGAATATATGCGCGTTTGATTGTCCTCTTGATTGTACCATACAGTTTCAGATGTTTTATTTCCTTATGGTAACATTCAATCTCATTCACAATTTCAAAACCCTTTTTAGTGCAAAAAATATTTTTTTTAATTAAGGGATGATTTCAAAAATTTATTTTTATGTTTTAAAAATTTCTGTTCCCTTTGTAAATAACAGGATGTTTTAACCCGAAAGAAAAAAAAAAGTATTGTTTATGGTTTAAAATAAAAACTGATAAAATCATGTTTACCCCAAAACAAAATCCATTTTTTGGGAGAATTAGCACACTCTTAAAACTTTTTCTATTCGGATATATTTTCCCGTTTTTTTGTTTTACACTCCAAACAGCTTTAAACTAAAATTATAGCTATTTTGGTTTCGGGTTTTTGATCATTTCCATCTTTAACCCTGTATTCAAACAAAACCCCGGGACCTATTGCAGTAGAAAATCGTCTTTTTTTATTGGTTCCCTTTGTGAAAAAACGTTTTTTGTAAGTTTACATGCTTTCCCCATTCTTTTTGTTTTTTTGTTCGAACATGCTGTTTGGATCAGTGTTAATATTTCAAGTATGAATATACTTATTTTTAGTGTAATTCCATCTGGTAAACCATTTTTAATTTTTTGCGAAAACGTTAAGAACCATGATTGAACAACAAATAAAAGACACCTGGCATGGTGAAATCTTACATAAATGTTTATTTCAGTAGCATGACTTACACTTCATCAACTTGACAGTAAAACAGAAATAAATGAAATGTTATGATATTTTTAAGGGACAATTGTAAATTAGTAAAAACTAAAAATATACATTTGGGAGTGTTTAACGCTAAGTCTGCTAGTGACAAATGCATCTACACTGCAACCATTGCAGACCAAGATCAGCTGGTGCGTCTACGCCGTCTTGTCATGGTCTGCACATCAGCTATTTGTTATTCGGTCAACTGCTACATATTTTGAAATTTTCTCTAAAAACATATGAACAGTTTTGTACTGATTGAACAATGGACAAGTAAATTTAAAATATTTGGCGTGGCAAAGGGTTAAGGAAATGTAAATAGTACGAATAAATTATGCATTTCAACCTATTTGTGATTTCTGTAGAAATGATTCGGAAAAGTATCACATTGTATAATTCATTATTTCTGACTTAGAAATTGTGACTGCATCATGAAATGTTAATTAAATAAAGTAACAAACAAGACGAGATATAATGTTTGCAACATATGTTTATAAGATACATATTAAACAATATCAAAGATTAACTAAAGCTGTGATTAGGACATGTTTACATAATATCTTCAATGCGGTTGGAACAACATTTTTAAGTTATTCCTTATGTCTTCATTTCAAATGTTTATATATTTCTTCTTGTCTGGTTATCGTAATGTTAATCATAACGGCGGAATTAATTTGATATCAAATGTAAATAATTCAACTGTGCAATTTAATCTGTGTTTAATAAAATAAATTTTCCGATAAAGAAAATGAAGCGACACATATCTGTGCATATATGCACTAATTAAACTGTGATAAATTAAAGATAAATTAATTGAAAAATTAATTGAAAATGATCAGGTAGAGAAAAAGAAAAAGTTATTTTAGAGTAATGGATTGACTGATCGTCATAAAAGCCATTCCCTGAAATAAAGAAAAGAAGAAAGTAAATAAATGACAGTTGTTTGACCCTCAAAATGAAAAAAAACTAATGTTTTATTACTTATATGTTATATTTTTCCATTGTGAAACAAAACGTCAAGAAAATTCAAGAAATGTCTTTTAAGGTGAGTTACCTTTAAATAATCCAATATTTATGACAAGTGTTTGCCAATGTTACAGAAAAAAGGAAATTAAAATTACCGAATGCTATTGTTTACGTTTCTGAAGAGGGCTTTTGTCATTTCTCTTAACATACATCTTCGAATGAGTAAAGAAAATATACAAAATACTTACACAACGCTAGAAAATATATAGTTCACTTTTTGTCATTATTTCCTATCATCGTATCACCCACTTTCTTGATTCCTTTGAATGGACCAGCTATAATGTTGGCGGCAACAATGAATGGAGCTGCTGCTATACCAGCTAAAGGTCCTTTCTTTTTCCCGAAGTCATTTGCAACATCGAGACCTGAAGCGGGGAACATTTTGTATAAAAGAACCTTCCAAACAAAGATTTAGGCCTTCTTTCTCACATGTTTTCATTTATATTTTTGATTGTTATTTCAACAATTAAAACGTGTGTACGCGTGTGGGTTTTTGAGCATCGGCTTGCATGCCTAAGGTTAAGACCCTTTTACGCAACTATATTTCTTTTGAAACGGAAGTAGGATTTTGCGCATGCGCATTCTACGAAAAGCAATAACGAAAGAATAATTTTTTTTAGTATTCAACAATTTCATTAAAAATTTATATAATCTAATGATTAACCATAAAAATTTAGAATAGTTTATTTTGATTATTTACCGAAGCAATGGTTAATCTAACATTTCTGCAGTTACGCATTCATTCGGTGTCATTCATATTTGAAAGACTCTTAATGCTTTCGATTCTTTTAAAAGAACCTTCGTATCAAGCATAAAAACTTAACCATCTCTTGCATTTAAGTGTGCTGAAATGTGTCACTTGGAAATATCGTCCTTTAAAATACTCGTTGATTAAAGGTGTCATTAAAGGGTATAAATCTATATTTCATGAAATATTTATAAAAAATTTATCAACAGTAAAATTGTATTGGTTCCATTTTTATATGATTGATTCCCGAAAAAAGTAGTAACATATCATGTCTCTGTTATTCAACACACATGAATAATGTATGTAAACAGAATAAAATGTTCCGGAACAAAATATTATTTTGCTATTTTAAGAAGTTTTTTATCCGAATAGCAATGACTTTGTGCATGCGCCACTTGCTTTAAGGCAATTTGTTGGCATATTTATTTCATACAAGTACACATTTTGCTGCAATGCATCAATTGAGAAGCTCCGAGCAAATAAAAATGCGCTCATTACAGATGCCTTACCAAATCATTTCTACACACAGGTCATTTTCTATTTAGGTACATTATTCCGGATGTTTTGTAAATCATTTAAATTTGTATTATTATACTTATCATATGCACTGTCCATGAGAAAAGGGCCAGATATTTAATTTTAAAAAATATGCTTTCACTGATGCCTACCTTGTAAATGAATGTATTCCAATACAAACAAGAATTTGTAACAGAGTTACCAACGTCCCCCGCCCCGGGAGTTTTATATGAAGCATAAAATTGTGCTATTTCAAAAGATTGAGGTATGGATCTCAGGACATTCAGTCCAAAATTATGATCAATGCTAGATCTGCAAATGTAACAATAAATTTGTTAAAAAAATAAAATGAAACACGGAATTTAAAATTCTATCATGTTAAGCTTTGACCTCTAAGTGTGAACTTGACCTTGGAGGTAGGGGAGCAGGTGTTGTGCATGACATAACGTCTTATTATTGTGACTATTTGTGCCAAGTTATTTCAAAATCCCTTGAACTATGAAGAAGTTCAAGATTCAACACAAAATATACCCTATAACAGACTATGTTAATTTTTGACCTCTAAGTGTGACCTTGACCTTGGAGGTAGGGATGCAGGTGTTGCGCATGACACATCCTCTTATTATAGTGACTATTTGTGCGAAGTATTTTCACAATCCTTTGATCTATGAAAAAATTATAGACCTGACACAAAATATACCCTGTAACAAACTATGTAAGTATTTGACCTTCAAGTGTGACCTTGACCTTGGAGGTAGGTGACCGGTTTTTGCGCATGACACATCATCTGATTATTGTTAACAATTATGGCAAGTATTTACAAAAGTCCTTCATAGATAAGAAAGTTATGGACTGGACACGACATATACCCTCAAATAGACAATGTTGACCTTGAATGAACAAGTACGACCTTGACCCTGAAGGTACGGGTCTGGTTGTTGCGCATGACACATCGTCTTATTATAACAAACATTTGTGCCAAGTTATCTCAAATTCCTTTGATAAATGACAAAGTTATGGACCGGACACGAAATATACCCTGTAACAGACTATGTTAATATTTGACCTCCAAGTGTGACCTTGACGTTGAAGGTAGGCAACTGGTTTTTGCGCATGACACATCGTCTGATCATTATGAACAATTATGGCAAGTATTTACAAAATCCCTTCATAGATAAGAAAGTTATGGACCGGACACGAAATATACCCTGTAACAGACTATGTTAATATTTGACCTCCAAGTGTGACCTTGACCTTGAAGGTAGGTGACTGCTTTTTCCGCATGACACATCGTCTGATAATTGTGAACAATTATGGCAAGTATTTACAAAATCCCTTCATAGATAAGAAAGTTATGGACCGGACACGAAATATACCCTGTAACAGACTATGTTAATATTTGACCTCCAAGTGTGACCTTGACCTTGAAGGTAGGTGACTGGTTTTTGCGCATGACACATCGTCTGATTATTGTGAACAATAATGGCAAGTATTTACAAAATCCCTTCAAAGGTAAGAAAGTTATGGACCGGACACGAAATATACCCTGTAACAGACTATGTTAATATTTGACCTCTAAGTGTGACCTTGACCTTGGAGGTAGGTGACTGCTTTTCCCGCATGACACATCGTCTGATAATTGTGAACAATTATGGCAAGTATTTACAAAATCCCTTCATAGATAAGAAAGTTATGGACCGGACACGACATATACCCTCAAATAGGCAATTTTGACCTTGAATGAGCAAGTGTGACCTTGACCCTGGAGGTAGGGGTCTGGTTGTTGCGCATGACACATCGTCTTATTATAATAAACATTTGTGCCAAGTTATTTCAAATTCCTTTCATAAATGACAAAGTTATGGACCGGACACGAAAGTGTGACGGACGGACAGACGGACGGACAGACGGACAGACGGACGGACGGAGCCTATTTCTATATCCCCCTTTTTTCTTCGAAAAGGTGGGGGACAACAAGGCTTACAAGACTTGTAATGTGACATAATAGTAGTTCAACATTGTTCTGTTTGTGTCACTACTGCAGTCAGTAATAGTAGATTTCAAAATGTGTGACATTAAACTGGATAATAAAATGTGAGTTCTTTCGCTCCCCATCTGGTACATAGTCTTAATTTCTGAAGATTTTGTAAAATTACTAAAACATATGCATGTGACTGTTTGACATCAATGTTAAATCGGATAAAGGATAAAATAAAGTAAACTGAAAAACTAGAAACATTTTCATGAACATGCATAATCTCATGTTGTGACTTGTTTTAGAATAATTAGCTTCGATGTCATGTTTTAAAAATCTCTTTAGATATATTACATGAAATAGTTCAAGAAGGTTATTGTAAATATTTTTTCTTGATGAAAAAAAAGACTTTTTCCACATTTTTATCTCAATGATTTTCAAGTCCTGCGTCGTCCCAAATGGCTAACAAAATCATCTTTAAAATTTTCACAAATTTTCATATCCTTTACAGCAATCTTGGCCACAAATCTATTAAGGCAATTTTGTTAAAGGATATTTTATATAATTGTCTAGTTTTAACGGAAAACTTACTTAGAATTGTCTATGAACATCAACTGCTTGCGATAATCTTTTGCCCTGAGCAGTTTGCGCATGCGCGAGAAAAATACTATATCCGGTCCCTTTTTCATAACAACGGATTGCGTTGTAAAAAGGGTTATATGTTATTTAAAAATTAAAGGAGATCTTATGTAACAATAATGAATTGCATTTCACATAGGTTTAAAACTATAAATATAACCAAGCCTCAGCTTTTGGCAAGTCCAAAGGTGTTAACTTCTGATAAATATTATCTTGTTTACTGTTTACTGATTGTTAATAAGTCCATGTCAACATTATGTGTTTATCTGAGATACAGTGTTCAACACGTTTTGCTTGTTTTTGTTTGTATCAATTACGTCTAAGATGTTACGTTTACCTTTTCCTGCACCGTAAACAAGTCCACCTGCGGCGGCTACAGGCACCCACAACGGCGCTGTCCCTACTGTCGAAGCTACTTTAATTGCTTCTTCGTCAGACATTGCTCTGCTCAAAGAAACAATTTTTTCAAACATATTGCGGCTTTTGTACATTTCACTCACAAAATCCAGCATTTTTTTATCTTATCTGACTTTGTATTATATTTGAAAGTCCAAGGTAATTAAAACAGAAAGAGGTCTCTACAAAAGCAAATAACATATATATTTAATTGTTTGGATATCTTATCGGTAGGTGAACGTTGATTTTTGGTATATTTGTTAGAATTTTTGTTCAACCAGCACGCCAAGACATTACATATTACATTGTATAGTATGCAATCTTAAAGTTAAACTATTATCAAACCATTGACTTAATTTAGTTCATCGTCCTTCATTTTATCATTGAATAAGCTTAAACATATTTTATAATCATTCAACCACGCCCGAAATGTCACTACTGTCGAAGCTACTTTAATAACCTCTTCGACAATCATTTTCCTACTAAAAGAAACAATTTCATAAATATATGGCTGCAATGGCTTTATACATTTTAGTCACAAAATCCAGCATTTCATTTTAATCTTATCAGACTTTTTGTAATGTTTGAAAGTCCAAGGTTATCACAACAGAATTAGGTCTGTACAAAAACAAATAACATCTATCTAAAATAGTTTGGACATCTTATCGGCAGGTGAATGTTGTTGTTTTTTGTATATCTGGGTTTATATTTTTTTTCCAACAAGCTGTTTATAATGATATTGCTAAATATGATGTACAGTATAGTATACAACCGTAATTCTAAATCATTATCAAACCATTGACTTTATTTACTACACTGTCTTTTCCTTTCTTCATTGAATAAGCTTAAAATTATATTTCAATCATTTGTTTTTTAAATCACCACTGTTCTCAACTTGCAAGGACCTCTTTTGGATGGAATGGATGCATATTAATGTAATTTTATTCTGTTTAATGTGAACTGTTTAGTGCATTTTTTTCCAAACAATTTATCATGGATTTGTTCATACAGGCAACAAAGAATGGTCGTAAATATATTGTAGTCGCGTTGTTAAATACAATTTTGTATGTTAATTGCAAATCAATAATAAAAGTTTGATGACGGCTTAATCTTTTTTCAAAGCGATTATTGAATTGGTGTATACTATATGAGTTATCAAAAAGGGCAGGGCAATGTTCACCTTTACACTATTTAACAATGGCTGTGTACCTTTATCCCTCTGTATGGTGGCATATTTCTGCCACCAGATAACCTGATAACAAACTAGTTAATTAAGAGGTTAACTAGTTACGTAACTAGTTAACCTGATAATTAACTAGTTAATTAAGAGGTTAACTAGTTACGTAACTAGTTAATTTTTTCAATAAAGAAAAGATCATAACGGGAAATAAATGCATGTTAGTGCCTGCAACTGCCATCCTTTTATTATATCATCATCTTAAAATTAAGAGGTTAACTAGTTACGTAACTAGTTAACCTCTTAATTAACTAGTTAATTATCAGGTTAACTAGTTACGCAAATACCTAACTAGTTAACCTGATAAATAACTAGTTAATTAAGAGGTTAACTAGTTACATAAAAACGTAACTAGTTAACCTGATAAATAACTAGTTAGTTAAGAGGTTAACTAGTTACGCAAATACCTAACTAGTTAACCTGATAAATAACTAGTTAATTAAGAGGTTAACTAGTTACGTTTTTACGTAACTAGTTAACCTCTTAACTAACTAGTTATTTATCAGGTTAACTAGTTACGTAACTAGTTAACCTGATAATTAACTAGTTAAGTATTAGGTTAACTAGTTAGGTATTTTCGTAACTAGTTAACCTGATAATTAACTAGTTAATTAAGAGGTTAACTAGTTACATAAAAACGTAACTAGTTAACCTGATAAATAACTAGTTAATTAAGAGGTTAACTAGTTACGTAAAAACGTAACTAGTTAACCTCTTAATAAACTAGTTATTTATCAGGTTAACTAGTTAGGTATTTGCGTAACTAGTTTACCTATTAACTAACTAGTTATTTATCAGGTTAACTAGTTACGTAACTAGTTAACCTGATAATTAACTAGTTAAGTATTAGGTTACCTAGTTAGGTATTTTCGTAACTAGTTAACCTGATAATTAACTAGTTAATTAAGAGGTTAACTAGTTACATAAAAACGTAACTAGTTAACCTGATAAATAACTAGTTAGTTAATAGGTAAACTCGTTACGCAAATACCTAACTAGTTAACCTGATAAATAACTAGTTTATTAAGAGGTTAACTAGTTACGTTTTTACGTAACTAGTTAACCTCTTAACTAACTAGTTATTTATCAGGTTAACTATTTACGTAACTAGTTAACCTGATAATTAACTAGTTAAGTATTAGGTTAACTAGTTAGGTATTTTCGTAACTAGTTAACCTGATAATTAACTAGTTAATTAAGAGGTTAACTAGTTAAGTATTTATTTAACTAGTTAACCTATTAATTAACTAGTTAATTATCAGGTTAACTAGTTACGTAACTAGTTAACCTCTTAATATTAAGCTGACAATAAGGGATGGCAGTTTGCAGGCACTAACATGCATTTTTTTCCTGTTATGATCTTTTCTTTATTGAAAAAATTAACTAGTTACGTAACTAGTTAACCTGATAATTAACTAGTTAATTAAGAGGTTAACTAGTTACGTAACTAGTTAACCTCTTAATTAACTAGTTAATTATCAGGTTATCTGGTGGCAGAAATATGCCACCATACCTCTGTCATGTTAATATTCAAATAAACGAAACTATTCAGTCTCTTAATCTTGTTTCTTCTCTCTCTTTTTCTCTCTTACAGTCTTAATAATCATGAGAAATTCTTCAAAATTGCAAAAGTATTGGCATTAATTGATGGACCAACAACGCACAGGTAAACATTTACTGGCGATAAAATTATCCATATTACAGACAGTTGAAATTAGAATTTCAGGGCTGTGATACATTTCCATTCAGCTTCCTGTTTTCAAATTTATTTCAATAATAATAATACAAAAGGGAGATAAAAATGGAAAAGATGTTGACGTCATAATTTTAAAGGAGCTCTACTGAAGTCCAAACGCCTAAAGACATAAAAATCAGTTGGGAACTTAAAGCTACTCTCCCACACAAAACGGGTCTATAAACATCAACATATTTTAAACAGTTATTTAATATGCATATGTAAGTAAAATTTGCAGTTTTCACCAGATAACTGAGACCGTTTCACTTGACACAGTATTAACACCGTAAACATGTTGCGAGCAAGGCAGTTTAATGCAAGTAGAACTCACCATATAAAAGTCAGTTTTAAACTGGATTTCGGAGATATGTTCCTCTTTTTTGTCACTTCTTATAGACATCATTTTCTATGATATATTGCCCAGCAATCGATTTCAGGATAAAAAAAACTTAGCAAGCGCACAAATGTCCTACCCGCAACCAACGAATCTACTTGTAAACAGTAGTGTGAGTAGTGTGAGTGTTTATAAATTAAAGTATGGAACGTTGCAACGGTTTAAATTTTCAGCATGGTAAACATTGCAAAATCTTTATTTATATGTTTTTTCGTCGGACAAGACATGTATTATTCATCTAGTTTCATATAAATTTACTAGTCTGTGGTGCAATTATGTGAAATTATATCTTTTGATGACATTTTATTTCAAAACCGTCCAAACTGCAATGTGTTAGATAGTAGCTTGAAAACAGACGAAAAACAAAAGAATAAGAGCACAATTTATTCAAAATTAAATTGAAAAACTATTTTAAGTACGACTTTTAGGCAGATTTGAGTTGTATGCGTACAAACGCTTTTTAGATTTGCGAAATAAAAATGATAATTATAGAATACAAAGATAAAGTTCTAGAGTTTTATACTTTATACTTTATACTCATTGATACTAAAGAATAAATCAAGATGACTTACCTTTCCCAATGTTGTAGTCAGTTCAACATACCATGAATTATGTAAAAGTTAAAAACTAATCAAATCAGCTCAAACTGGTGATAACCTACTTAAAATTCATTTTATTATCAAAGACGTTATCAATAAAAAAAAGATATGACACCATGCGTACGGTGCATGTATAATTGACATAAGTCAAGTGTAGGAGTTATTCCCCTTGAATGTCAGGAATAATAGTTGTGCTTCTGTTATTGTGTAAAGAATACTGCCAATATAACCAAGTGACTTACATGTATATCTCAAGGATTTCGTTTGTTATCTTATAATGGATTTTGGTATACCTTCAATAATTAGATTCGTTTATAACAAAAAAAAACATTTGGGAGAAATGTTCTAAACACTTATGTAGCCAAGTAAAACGATATTAGTATTATAAAATTTTCGCACATCACTTTTAAAATAACTATTAAAATTCCTAATCATTAGGTTAGATTTCGAGGTCTATAAGTAACAAGTTACCAAATTGTAATGTAATGTACAGGATAAATTGAAGAACAACAAAAACGATTCATAACCCATACTTTTGTTCCAACTTTCTGAGGTTTAAGTCCTTGATAAGCGGTATCAAAGGGAAGCTTTAGGAAGGCCGGTGGTGCCCGCTTTTACCTTAAAATTTAATATATCGAATTTAAAGCAGGAAACATAGATAATTTATCTAAATATAATGTTTTAATTAATGTACCAGCCGAAGCAGTCTTAAATTTGTAGAATTTCTCAGTTGATTTGACTTATATGTAACCATGGTCTCCACCGCAGTTATCAGCTGTAGTAGATGAAAGCAATACCAACTGAAATCAGATTAAATTATGAATATGTATATGAACTTACATTCCCTTTTCAAGGCAGAAAACCAGTTGCACATAATCTTTCAAACTCATTTCTAGTTACTCCCCTTTCAACTTGTATATTAACCCCTTTCAACTTGTATGTTAACCCGTATTTGTCTGAAACGTCGCATATAATCAACAATGTTTATTGATATAGGATGATTATATTCCTTTAGCCATATGCTGTATAAATTGATCTTGATGAACAAGTATCTGTAGCAGCATCTTAATAATAACAAAATATTTCCATTGTTACAGAAAATGCGAAATTTTAATCGCAATATTTGAAATTTCAGTCTTTCAGTATTGTAGTCTCTCTGATATTTACACTCAGTCACTAGTTCCTCGTGACTGCGAATTCGAATCCCGTATGGATCTTCAAGGGATTTAAGCATGTTAGGAACTATACATATTGCTTACGGGTGTCGGTGGTTCCACTCGAAGACCGGATCTTGCCTAAAATGATTCACGGAGAGGTAGACCTGAGGTTTACCTCCATTGGTAAAGCTTGAATGTCAGAAATGCTTATTTCTGACAGTGACAGTGTGACTCCAAAAAAGAAACAATAGAAATTTTAACAATTCAAAGAACTCAATAGCATAACTCTTAAAATATTCGAAAGATAGCATAAAAAGATAACGTAAAAAGGGGAGGGGTTGGAGCATGTAAAAATAACACGTATATGATAATTATTAACAGTTATTACATATTAACGAATAATTAAAAAACCTAATAGAATAACTCTTAAAATATTTGAAAGATAAAATAAAAGGAGGTTTTTGGAGTATGTAACATTAAGACCAAAATATTCAGTATTCATACATTACACTTCTCATTTAAAAATAACTTATGAGCATGAGATTTGACCAAAGCTCTTAAAGAAATATTTTTTAAAAGCGTGTATTATGGTATTATTTAGCAACGAAAAGTCATCTTTTTATCAAATTTCACGTTTGAAAAACATTATGTGACTTAAATGAGTAGTATTCATATTAGCAAAATTCTGCAGGACTAACTGTGACTAATATATAGTTTAGTCATCATATTCGTTGTTGTTTTTCAATAAGGGGGTAAATTAAAATGTAAAAACCTTACTTTCTCATATTTTGCTTTTTGGGGGTTGGGTGTCTACGTCGCACCAACACAGTTGAGATCAAATGGCGAATTTCAAGCTTTACTGGTGGAGGAAGACCTTAGGTGCCAGTCTGTGCATTAAAAGATTTGAAGTCACCGACCTTAACCAAAGACTTCACAAGTCACGCGTGATTACAGACGATAGATCATAGTCACACGGAAAAAAGAACCTAAATGTATATAATAAATAAGTATACCTACAGCAGTGGATATGGACCATGTCATTATATAAAAAATGTTATGGTTTTTGTACAACAAGAGGCATATTATTTTAAATATATAGAAAAGGTATTTTTCTTTGTAATACAATATGGCAGATCTTTTGCAAGTCTCTTTGTATGTTAGGAAAGTACGAGTACGTTGACGGGACTCCAGTTGATGAAATATTTCGCAATACTCGACTAACTTTTTTATTTTGATACTCCAATGTTCTTGATTTAAAGAATTTAACTTGCTTAAACTTCTTGATTTAAGTGAAAAAAGTAACTAGACTATTTTTCAAAATTAGGCTCGTTTCCAAATCGTTTGTAGGTTTACTTATCATATTCGTATTTTCGAGCGAGGGATTCAAGACGGCTGTTAGCGTTAAGCTTTAGCATATAATTTCGTTGAAAATGGCCACTTTTTATGGTGATGAAACTGATTATATAGAAGAATTAAAAAGGAAAACGTTTTTTATAAGGCATTTATTTACTTGAATTGTTCCGAAGTTAAACACTTAGACTGCAAGCGGAAACGTTTTTACCTACGCAACAAGTGCAGACAAAGATCAGCCGGCACATCCATCGTCTGCACTGTTCGATATTCAATCGGTTCATATATTTGAAGCATGTTGATTGGTTTATACAGAATTTATTTAAGTTCGATTGTGTAGGAAGCTATATGCTTATAGACACACTTTCGAATCCGTTCCTGAAACCAACCAGTACTGAGCAATGAGTGTAAAGTTTCTTGCTCAAGGAAACAACGACTTGCCCCTGACGGGGGTTGAACCCATGCGGCTAGCGATCATGAGATTACTAGTCCGACGCGTTAACCATTCGGCCATGTCGCCACATAAGCGTGTTGATTATGAATGGTTTTGAAATAAAGACAAGTTTCTTTTGGTATTTAAAATTGTTGGGGTTAAAGAAATGGAAAGAAAGTGTTTTGTGAATTGTGGAATCTAGAATAACGCCGGATATGTGGCAAATTGACCAGACCATAGAGTAAGGCTAAAAAAGGTTAGGCGTCATCTTACTACTATAAAATCCTCATGGTCGTTTCTAGTGAAAACAGGCTGTCGTATTGTATGGTCGTCATGTAAAAGTAAAAAACACAAGTAAAATATTTATCATGTTTATTGCAAGTTCATGTCAGTGTAAAAAGGTCAACCTTTCTTGTATATGTATGAATGAATATTAAAAATAATAAATAATTCATGACATTAGTATTACCGTCTTTCATACAATTCTTTGTTATATTAAAATCTAGAACGTTATTACAATTTCATACATAATTTTTTACATATATAATATTGTTAGCAAACTGTATTCTTAGATATGTATAGGCCGGACCGGGCGCCATAACATTACTTAATTCACACTTATGTTTGTCATATATTTTTTAGTTATATAAATATTTCCTATTTGTTGAATAAAATCTGTTAAATATAGTTACTATCTATCTATATGACAAAATATTGGGCCAATATTCAGACAAAATTTAGTAATATGTTAATTTATCTTAAAAAAAACAAAGTTACTTTAAAAAAACACAAACATTAAATGAATTGTTTGTTTGAATGTACGTTATATTGATTTGCAAACTTAGTGCAAATAGTTAATGTGCATTTTTTATTTCCTAAAAGCATTTCACATATTCACAAATGGCATAACACAGAAAAATCACCCGGCCGGTTGAGCACCCAAGTCCTTGCTTGTGATAAAACTGATAAAATCCAAAACAAATAAACTAAAATGTGTTCAAATGATTCAAATAGCTTTAAATCTAGACAACTACTAGTAAATAGTTCTAGTATCACAGTTATTAATATCTATGAATAAATAATAATCAAACACCATAGTTCAATGTAACATGAGTTTAAATCTTATACTAGGATGTTTGGTAATAGAATGTGCAAAACTTTATATATGTTTATGTTACCCCTATCATAAAAATATATATTTAGCATGATTTTTTCAATGGGGTGGAGCAAATGTTTTATATATATTATCTTTTAAATCACAATAAACTGCCTTAAGAACTTCATTAAGAGTCATTTTAATTGTTTTAATAACACCAATTGAACAGGTAAGACTGGTGCATGTTCACAAGATCACAAAAATGATTAAATCAATTTTATCTGGTTTTTTTGTATTTTAAATGAACAGAAAAATTTTATTTAGAGCTGTAGTATCTTTTTTACAAAATTTCAACTTCTTTCAAAGTTTAGCCCGCAACGTTACAAAAATGTTAAAATCAGTTAAACTTCTATCAGATTGATTCGCCTGCTTATATATCTTTAAAAGGACAAAACAATGTATTAAGAACTTATTAAGATTTCGTTTTAATTATTTTAATAAAATTTCAACAACTTTAAAAGTTGCTGTCGCTAGGCCGCCAATTCACAAAAAAATGATAAAATCAAAACAAAATCTCAAATTTTTTTTTCAGCTCATATCTTTTAAATGACACGAACTATCATAAAAATGTATGAGTCGTTTTAATTCCTTTTACAAAATTTCAATATTTTTTTTTAAAATTTAGGTCGCCTGACCACAAAGTTCACACAGTTTTTTATTTATCTATTTTTGTCTGATTATCATACTCGTAATGTTTTCCACAACATGTTGATAAAACTGTTGATATCAAATGCAAATTGTACAATGCAGTTAAATATGTTTGTATGTGTAAAACTTTTTCGAAACATATGAAATTTGAAATGCTACAAGACTGCAAGATGACAGTACAATGATAAAACTGTGACGACCTGATGATAATGTGAAAAAGGTTGATTTAGGAGATAACAATTAACCTAATAAAACGATCAGTAGAGATAATGGTTTGAGTAATATTTCATTAAAGTCTTTCCCTGAAATAAGGAAACAAAGAAAACTTAGTGACAGTTGTTTTTCCTCAACAAACTCATGTTTTATTAATTATACTCATACTAATAATATTCATGAAATATTTGTGTCAATGAGTTATGTTTACAAGTAAAAGATAAAGATCAATGTTTCTTATTAGGTATCTTGTCATCAACTCTTTGCCAATGTTTCAGAAAATAGAAATCAAAATATCCAAATGTTATTTGTATAGTATGAATGAAGAAATAATAAAGATGTACAAAATACTCACACAATGCAACATAATAAGTAGTTTACTTTTTATCACTCTTCCCTATCATCACAGCGCCCACTTTCTTGATTCCTCTGAATGGACCAGCTATAATGTTGGCTGCAACAATGAATGGAGCTGCTGCTATACCAGCTATAGGTCCGTTCTCCTTTCCGAAGTCATTTGCAGCATCGATACCTTAAGCCAGGAAAATGATGTAATAAAGAACCTTCCAAACGTTTCTTTAACGATAAGGATTTTCCTTCTAACATATCTGTATTCATATTTTTATAATAAGTTAAAAAAAATGAAAACGCTAAAGCATGCGAGCGATTTTGAGTGCATCGAGCTTGCACACATAAGTGTATATGTGCAACATGAAATCTAATTGAGATTTTATGTTACAATAATGAGTTTCATATAACATACAAAGGTATGAATATCACCAAGCTAAGCTGAAACAAGTATACAGATGTAAGCTTCTGATATATATTATATTTATTCTGTTTAAAAACATCCATATGTTTAAATCTATGAGTTACAATGTCCCCATAATATGATTATGTAAGATACAGTAATATGTTTTTTTTTCATTCGACATGTTCTGCTTGTTATTGTATATATCAATTATGTTTACCTTTTCCTGCACCATAAACAAGGCCACCTGCAGCGGCTGCCGGCACCCACAACGGCGCTGTCCCTACTGTCGCCGCTGTTTTAATTGCCTCTTCATCAGACATTTTCCTGCTCAAGGAAACAATTTCGTGGTTATTTTAAGTTTCAGATTATTGCTGCAATGACTCTATACATATCCTTTAATTCAGGGATTTTTTCCTATTTTTTCAATGTTATCCGCATTTTTGTGTAAAAAGTTTGAAAGTCCAAGGTTATTAAAACAGAAAGAGGTCTGGACTTAAACAAATAACATTCTATCTAAAGTAGTTTGGATATCTTATCGGCAGGTGGCCGTTGAGTTTGTTTTTTTTTTGTATTTCCGGCTGGTGATATATTTGTCCAACCATCACGTCATAATAATATTACTTTATATTGCATGGTATACAATCTTAAGATTGAATTATTATCAAACCATTGACTTTTCTTAGTTCATCGTCCTTCATTTCATCATTGAATAAACTTAAAAATATATTATAATCATTTTGTTTTCTTCACCACTGTTCTCAACTCGCACGGACATCTTTTAGATGGAATGAATGTAATTTTATTCTGTAAATAATGTGAATTGTTTTGTGCATTTTTTTCCAAGTAGTCTATCATGGATTTGTTCGGACGGAAACAAAGAATGGTCGTAAATTAATGGTAGTCGCGTGGTATTACTGATTTTGATTCGAGATAATGATTTTTCAACTTTTGAGACAATCAATAAATCTTGCTTATTACTTAAAGCGACCTTCAGCTTTTATTGTTTGTTGGAAAAACAGTTCTGTTTCAAACTAAGTATATCAGTAATTTATCTTGCATTATATCACTGTAAAGTCTCCTTTAACACAGTGTCGCAAGAGCTATTTATAACGCTTGAGTGACATTTGTTTCTAAAAATAGAAAATCAAAACTTACTGATTTACATATAAAGACCGGACCGGTAGTTAGAGGTGTTGGGGTTATATTTTATCGTCGGCAAATCTTAAATATTTTGGAGTGAGCATTATATGAAACGTTTTATCTAAAAATAGCATATTTAAGACTTAGAAAAGCTGGAGGCCGCTTTAAAGTCGTAGCAATAAAGTACATGTACTATTTTGTCAGTAAGTTGCACATCAACAAAAAATGCCAAAATAATGGCCTTATCACAGCTTAATTTTCCATTCTTGAAAACGCGTGATTTATCAAAATGGGCATGTTCATCTTTACACTATTTGACAATGACTGTGCACTTTTATCTCTCTGTCATGTTTAGCGATCATCAAATTAACGAAACTATTCAGTCTTTCAATGTTGTTTCTTCTCTCTTCCTCTTTCTCTAACAGTCTCAATCATCATGAGAAATTCCTCAATATTGCATCGGCGCTAATTGTAGGTAAAAATTTACTGGCGATATCTATATATCCATATTACGAAAAGGTAAAATTAGAGTTTCAAGACTGTGATACATTTCCATTCAGCTTCTTGTTTTCGAATTAATTAAAATATTGTTTATCATTTACATATATAATGGAAAAAAGAGAAGAAAAGGAATTTTGACGTCATAATTTTAAAAAAGATTCAAAAGTCCAAACGCCTAAAAACATAAAATTTGAAAATCTTCAATGAAATTCTATGAATTGGGAACTTAAAACGGACAAAAAAAGATAAGAACAAAGTTTATTCCAAATTGAGTTTGAAAACTATTTTAAGGCCGATTTGAGTAATATGCGAAAAATAAAAATGATGAATACTGAAAACAACGGACCGAGCATCTGAACTTTTACACAATAGTTTTTGGCACAAATTTCGGAAACTTACTTCCAGTCCCGTCATGTCAAAACAAAAACCCTGTGGGGTCCATTTAATATACTAAATAATAAATGGAAATTAAATTGACTTACCTTTCCAGGTTGTAGAATATACTTCCCGTCAGTTCAACTTACCACGAATTTCATAAAATCTTAAAATGATCAAACTTGCTCAAACTAATGATAACCTACGTGAAATTCATTATCAAAAACGTTATCAATAAAAAAAACATGACACCATGCGCAAGATGCATGGGTAAATGTCAGGGCATGTGTTTCTGCTTCTACTTTTGTATAAATTATCCTGCCAATATGATCAAGTGACTTATATCTCAAGGATTGATTTCTTCGGCGCCTGCGCCGAAGCACGACGCCCCTTACAGAACGACTTCAGATTTTGTGTCCGATTGGTGAAATGGTTGTTTAAACGAAAAGGCAATTCGTGTCACGCTATGGTAATAAATAACGAACTGGAGAATTTTTCAGGTAATGAAATTCAAACATATTTAACAATAAATTAAACTCTTTATAAATTTATCTAAAAAATTATTTGAAGTATAAATGTAAGCCAGTTTTTACGAATTATTTTATCATACTATAATCATTCTGTATTGTAACTTTTTTATATACTGTTTGTATATTTGTAACATTTATAATACAAATAAAGAACATACTTTGTTCATTTTGACTAGAGCGCTACTATTTTGTATGTTCCAAAGAAAATAATTTAATAATCTAATCTATAGCATGCCTACCCAAGTTCAGGATGAACAATGTCTTTCGTCCGACCATTCATAAATAATATACAATCCTGGCAAAATTGAAAAGTTTATAAGAAGATATCTGGTCATCAGAAGACTACTAGTTTATCGTCACTTGCTGCATTTCTTGCTTGGACACCCTTTGATGCTTTGCATCAATGCTTTTCTTGTTAATGTTTATAACAAAAATAATTTCGGAAATATATTCTAAACACTTACGTAGCAAGGATAAACGACACAAATGTTCTAAAATGTTCGCACATCATTTTTAACATAACTATTGAAATTCCTAATAATTGAGTTGATTAACACTAAATATATCGAACTTAAAGCAGGACACATAGATAGTTGATCCAGATACCGGTTTTAATGCTTCTAAACGTAAGTACTGATAGGCGGAGTCTTAAATTTATAGAATTTGATTTATAATCATGGTCTCCGTCACATGGATCAGCTGTAATAGATGAAAGCATCGATTACCAACAGAAATCAGATTGAATTCTTTATATCATGTATATAAATTTTTGAAATTACGTAAGATCAGATACGCTTTTTTTAAACCTTTTTCAAGAGAGAAAACCAAATTGCACAACTCTTTCCAACTCATTTCTAGTTATTCCCCTTTAATCGGTAAGTTACTTATTTGTCTGAAAATTTTAACTTCTCTTATAATCAACAATGTTAATAATGATATTCCATATGCTGTTACTCTGTATAAATTGATCTTCATGAAACAAGTACACGTATCTGTAACAGCTTCATAAGAATATCAAAATATGATCATTGTTAAAGAAAATGCGAAATTTTATATGCAATTTTTTCCAGTCTTGGAGAACAGCAGTCTCTTTTTAGCTCACCTGTCACAAAGTGACAGGGTGAGCTTTTGTGATCGCTTTTCGTCCGTCGTCCGTCGTCCGTCCGTCGTCCGTAAACATTTTACTTTTAATGACATCTCCACATAAACCACTAAGCCAATTTCATCCAAACTTCACAGGATTGTTCCTTTGGTGGTCACCTTAAAAAATTGTTCAAAGAATTTAATTCCATGCAGAACTCTGGTTGCCATGGCAACCAAAAGAAAAAACTAAAAATATCTTCTTCTAAAAAACCCAAAGCTTAGATTTTTAACATGAAACATCTTCTGGTGAGTGTCTACCAAGTTTGTTCAAATAAAAGCCCTGGGGTCAAAATTGGCCCCGCCCCAGGGGGTCATTGATTTTCCCTATATGCATATAGTAAAAACTTAAAAAATCTTATTTTAAAGAACCCAAAGAGCTAGAGCTAAGATATTTAGCATGAAACGTCTTCTAATGGGTGTCTACCAAGTTTGTTCAAATAAAAGCCCTGGGGTCAAAATTGGCCCCGCCACAGGGGGTCATTGATTTTCCCTATATGCATATAGTAAAAACTTAAAAAATCTTCTTTGAAAGAACCAAAAGAGCTAGAGCTAAGATATTTAGCATGAAACATCTTCTAATGGATGTCTACCATGTATGTTCAAATAAAAGCCCTGGGGTCAAAACTGGCCCCGCCCCAGGGGGTCATTGATTTTCCCTATATACATATAGTAAAAACTTTAAAAAATCGTCTTTTAAAAAACCAAAAGAGCTAGAGCTAAGATATTTAGCATGAAACATCTTCTAATGGATGTCTACTAAGATTGTTCAAATAAAAGCCCTGGGGTCAAAGTTGGCCCCACCCCAGGGGGTCATCGATTTTCCATTTATACATATAGTAAAAACTTAATAAAAGCCCTGGGGTCAAAATTTGCCCGGCCCTGGGAGTCATTGATTTTCCAAATTTCCTTATATGTGTATAGGAAAAAACTTAAAAAATCTTCTTTGGAAAAAACCAAATAGCTAGAGTCTAGATATTAAGCATGAAACATCTTCTAGTGATTGTCTACAAAGTTTGTTCAAATAAAAGCCCTGGGGTCAAAATTTGCCCCACCCCGGAGGTCATTCATTTTCCCTATATGTGTAAAACTAAAGCAAAAATTGAAAAAATCTTCTTTGAAAAAAACTCAAATAGCAAGAGTTTAGATATTAAGCACGAAGCATCTTCTAGTGAGTGTCTTCAAAGTTTGTTCAAATAAAAGCCCTGGAGTCAAAATTGGCCCCGCCCCGGGGGACATTGATTTTCCTTATACGAGTTTAGCAAAAACTTAAAAATCTTCTTTTAAAAAACCCGAATAGCTAGAGTTTAGATATTAAGCATGAAACATTTTCTAGTAAGTGTCTACAAAGATTGTTCAAATAAAAGCCCTGGGGTCAAAACTGGCCCTGCCCCAGGTATGTGATTGTTTTTGAATGTATATGTAAAGAAAAAACTTAAAAAAATCTTTTTAAAAAACCCAACGACTTAGACCTTAGATGTTTAGCATGAAACATCTTCTAATGAGTGTCTAGCAAGTTTGTTCAAATAAAAGCCCCGGGCTTTAAACTGACCCTGCTCCGGGGGCCTATGTACAGGTGAGCGACTTCAGGGTCATCATGGCCCTCTTGTTTAAGTTACATTGAATCGCTGGGCAAGTTCCTCATCACTGCGAGTTCGAATCCCTTATGGATATTCAATGGATTTTGGCATGTGAGGAACAATAATACATTTAGCTAACTAAACGCGCAGTCGGTAGTTAGACTAGAGGACCGGGTCGTTCTTTAAACGACTCACCGAGAGGCTAACCTAAGGTTTTCCTTAACTAGTAAAGCTTGTATGTCACCATGCTTGTATATGACAGTGTAAGTGTGACACCAACAAGATACAATAGAATACGACTTGAATATCCGAAGAGTGATCTCTTACTTAGTCAATTTGTGCACAAGAGTATTAATGGAAGAAACACATACTTATCAGTTGTTACATCAGCCTCACGTATATGATAATAATGAAAACTTATTACATATTTATGAACAATTCAAGAACATAATAGCATTACTCTTGAAATATTTGAAAGATAAAATAAGAGATAACGTAAAAATGGATTTTTGCAGTATATTTAAGAACAAATTACCCAGAATTCATACATTACACTTCTCATTTAAAAATCACTTATTAGCATAATATTTGACCAAAGCTCTTAAAGAATATATTTTAAAAACGTGTAAATATAAAAATGGTATTATTGCGCAGCGAAATGTGACTTTTTTTAAATTTCAAGATTGAAAAACTTTATATGACTTAAAAGAGTACATTTCATATTAACAAACTTCTACAGGATCAAATGTGACTAATATATAGTTTAGTCAGCATATTCGTTGATCTTTTTCTAGAAGGGGGTTACTTTAAATGTTAAAACATTATTTTCCCATATTTTGCTTTTTGGGGATTGTGTGTCTACGTCCCACCAACACAGTTGAGATCAAGTGGCGACTTTCAAGCTTTACTGGTGGAGGAAGACCTTATGTGCCCGTCTGTGCATTATTGCATTGTTTAAGGCGCGTACGGACAACTGATTAGAACCACCGACGTTCCATAGACCAACTGGATAGTTCACATGAAATATGTTAAAGTCCATGGCGGGATTCGAGTCTACAGGTGTCACAATAGGGACTACGATGGGATACCAGGCCGACCACAATTGCTATCTAAAACAACCAACAACTCAGAACAGAAAAATATATACAAATTTATTTACATAAATGAATATTTATAAATGAAAAATGATTATATGTGAAAAGTCACTGCGCAAACAAACACTATTAACGTATCTCAGTATATTTCTCCCGTAAAGTTTCTGTCATGATGCTTCAATAAAGTGGTGGCGTTGTTGAACAAAATTCGTCACAATGGCGGGCGTCTTGTATAAAATCTTATCAAGCGTAACTGTACTTCCTACAGTGTTGGCACAGTTGATAGGATCCTAACAAGGGCATGCGTCACCCTTTAGCCATGGACATACGTGTGGAGGGCCCGTGTCATCTTCGGGTGTGTCCTCAAATAAGAAGCTGCAAAGTATAAAACATGATAAGTTCCATGATAATCAAACATAAGGGTATAATAAAGTCCCTTGGAAAAGACTCGACCTTTGTCGGTTTCCAATAAAATAACGTGCTTCTTTGAATAAACAAAATGTCCACTATAGTACACCATACATTCCGTGGAACAAAAATTCAATCACATCCGCATAATACTGCGTTGCAAATATATTCAAATATACGCCACATAATAACCACCAATAAATAAACGTCTTCCAAAATCATGCCACTGAAGATCCTTCTCTAGAGATACGTTGTATTTACTTATAACAAAAACTGATGATAAATGAAATGTAGTAAGATGATAACGTAAATTAAATTGATTGAAACAAATAAGATGATAACGAAAATTAAATTGATTGAAACAAATAAGATGATAACGAAAATTAAATTGATTGAAACAAATCGTTACGATACTGCAGCATTTTACATAAAGTTACACAAATACGGTAGAACCATAATAAATTATTTATGAATAGATATATATATATATATATATATATATATATATATATATATATATATATATATATATATACACTCAAAACAAAAAGTTTAGTCAGTATTTTGATAATGTGATATGTACTACATGCTATTAAGTAGCAATTTATACTAGCATGTGTAATCATGCTGAACGCCTAAGCTATTCAATATTTGTTGATTTTATTGTGTACTCTTGAAATGTGCACGCTTTTCACGAAGACGTCAAAATGCACGTGCACCACATGTTTGCACAGTCCAGTGTCACTAAGTTTAATTTTACTAGTGGTACAACACGTGTTATCGTATACAAACCTGAATTCTTAAAGAAAAAAATTAAAACGTTGTCATGGGACGTCGCCCTGGCATGACGTTAAACAATAGGCTTATAGCTATCGGTATGCTCAACGGTGGATCAACCGTTAACCACGTCGCACTCCATTTTCATGTGCATGAGCGGACAATTTACCATCTCCAGTCCAGGTACAGACAAACAAACAATGTTAAAGATAGACCGCGTTCTGGAAGACCAAAGAAAACAACGCAACGTGAAGACAGGTACCTGGTGACGTCGTCGCGACGTAATCGTTTTTTGACTAGCACTGAACTGTTTAACCGCTTACATACTGCAACAGGAACTAGAATTTTGTTGGGTACCGTTCGTAACCGTCTCAGAGCTGCAGGATTACGGTCCAGACGTCCGTTGGTTGGAGTACCGTTAACGCAACGTCATCGCCGCGCGCGTTTAAACTGGGCCCGACAATACCTCGCTTGGACAAGACAGCAATGGGCAAGGGTGGTGTTCACCGATGAATCGAGATTCAAAACTTTTATTATATACTTATAAATAAAATACTGATTAAATAAAATGCATATTTTCTTAATCCGTATTTTTCACTGCAGTGAAACATATTTTCCGTATTTAACTGCAGTGTCTTGCCGGTCTACCTTCTGCTAAATTCAGCCAATGCACAAAATTTATAGGAAAGTCTTTCAAACTGTGATGTCAAAATGTATAAACTTGATTAAAATATATCAAAACATCTGTTGTTAACAACTTTGTTAGGTGTGTTTTTTGAAGTTATGTTCCCAAATGGACACCATCATTTACATTTTTTTTGCTCTCTTAAAACATGGCTGTTAATAATTGACCTATAGATATTTCTAATTTAAATTATTGAGTTATACCATGAATGTCATGCATATTTTAAAGACAAGATGTGAAATTTAAACAAAGTTTAATAAAATAGTAAATATAAAAAATTTCTATTTGTACAATTTGCTGGAAATAAAAAGAACAATGGTGCCGTAGTGGGAAACCCCCTTATCCTTTACTGCCTAGACAACTTAACTGTTTCAATCAGTCAACAATAATCTAGATCTATCAGCAGAATTAATAGGAATGGAAAGGTAATATTGCACGTCAGGATAGGAACTGACAAGGGGATAATAGCTTCCCATGCAATTGCAACACAAATTTTGTCAAGCGAAAATATTCACTGCCTCTCTGAGCCGTGTCCTGTCTTCAATTGATGTTACACCCAAATTCATTAATATTCTTCGTTTAATTGGTTTATTTCCTGTATGCCTGCTTCATTATTGATAAAATTTTCCATTAAATAACCTAGCCCATCAGACGATAAAATTGTTCCAATTTTTTAAAATAACCGATCAAAATGTTCCGGCTCGTCAACAAACAGGTCATCTATAAATAGTTCATCATCATCGTAATAAAAAAAAAACATAACCATATATCAAAATAGTAAAAGCTTTTATAGAAAGAACATCACCATACATCAAAAAAGTATCTCCAGTTATAAAAGGAACATCACCATATAGCAAACTAGTATCACCATTTATAAAAAGTACATCACCATACAATAAAATAGTATCACCTTTTATAAAAACCACATCACCATATAGCAAAATTACAGCACCATTTATAAAAACAACAGCACCAAATATAAAATGACACCATCAGGTACCAAAGTGACACCGCCATATATCAAAGCGACATCACAATTTATCATTTTCACAGCACCATTCATCAAAACAACAGCACCAACTATCAAAATTACAGCACCATTTATCATTACTGCAGCACCATTTATCAAAACAACAGCACCATATATCACCAACACTCAAAATGACATAACCAGTTAACAAAACCATAGCACCATCTGTTAAAACCACATCACCATTTATTAAAACCACAGCACCATTTATTTAATCCACAGCATAATTTATTTAAACTACAGCACCATCTGTCAAAACGACATCACCTTTTATCAAAACCGCAGCACCATTTACTTAAACTACAGCACTATCTGTTAAAACGACATCGCCATTTATCAAAACCACATCACCATTTATTTAAACTACAGCACCATCCATCCGTCAAAACGACATCACATTTATCAAAACCGCAGCATCATTTACTTAAACTACAGCACCATCTGTCAAAACGACATCGCTATTTATCAAAACCACATCACCATTTATTTGAACTACAACACCATCTGTCAAAACGACATCACCTTGTATCAAAACCACATCACCATTTATTTTAACTACAGCACCATCTGTCAAAACGACATCACATTTATCAAAACCGCAGTATCATTTACTTAAACTACAGCACCATCTGTCAAAACGACATCGCCATTTATCAAAACCGCAGCATCATTTACTTAAACTACAGCATCATCTGTCAAAACGACATCGCCATTTATCAAAACCGCGGCATCATTTACTTAAACTACAACACCATCTGTCAAAACGACATCCCCTTTTATCAAAACCGCAGCATCATTTACTTAAACTTCAGCACCATCTGTAAAACCGACATCGCCATTTATCAAAACCACATCACCATTTATTCAAACTACAACACCATCCGTCAAAACGACATCACATTTCTCAAAACCGCAGAATCATTTACTTAAACTACAGCACCATCTGTCAAAACGACATCGCCATTTATCAAAACCACATCACCATTTATTTAAACTACAGCACCATCTGTCATTTATCAAAACCGCAGCATCATTTACTTAAACTACAACACCATCTGTCAAAACGACATCCCCTTTTATCAAAACCGCAGCATCATTTACTTAAACTACAGCACCATCTGTCAAACCGACATCGCCATTTATCAAAACCACATCACCATTTATTTAAACTACAACACCATCCGTCAAAACGACATCACATTTATCAAAACCGCAGAATCATTTACTTAAACTACAGCACCATCTGTCAAAACGACATCGCCATTTATCAAAACCACATCACCATTTATTTAAACTAAAGCACCATCTGTCAAAACGACATCCTCTTTTATCAAAACCGCAGCATCATTTACTTAAACTTCAGCACCATCTGTCAAAACGACATCACTTTTTATCAAAACCGCAGCATCGTTTACTTAAACTATAGCACCATCATCGCCATTCATCAAAACCACAGCATCATTCATTTAAACTACAGGACCATCTGTCACAACGACATCACCATTAATCAAAACCACATCACCAGCTATCAGAACCTCAGCACAATATGTCAAAAGGACATGACCACTTTAGAAGTGTTTATATAATGCAGCTATGGCGTTACATAAAACAGGAAGCCGTATTGTATGGTCGGCATGTAAAAGTAACAGAACACAAGTAAAATATTTATCATGTTTATTGCAAGTTTATGTTCAGTGTAAAAAAATCAACCTTTCTTGTATACATGTATATATGAATGAATATTAAAAATGATAGATAATTTCATTAGTTATATTGTCTTTCATACAATTCTTTGTTATAAAAAGGTAAAGGTAAAGGTTTTGTTTATTATAGTGTCACCCCTACTGAAAGGGCCAGCCATTTTGACTTATGAGACACCTTTTTAAATTTTTACATTAAAATCTAATACTTTATTACAATGTCATACATACATTTCTATATACACTGTTAGCAAACTGTCTTCTTAGATATGTGTAGGCCGGGCCATAACATTACTTCATTTCACACTTCCGTTTATCATGTATTTTCTAATTATATATATTTTCTATATGTTGAATTAAATCTGTGAAATATAGTTACTGTTTATCTATATATAAAAATAGTGTGCTAATAGACAAATTTGGTTATAAACTAAGTTATTGAAAAAGTTGTTTTTTTTTAAAAATCCAAACATAAATGTTTGCAAAGTATTGCAAAGTAACAAAATAATTGGGAAATCATGCAAATAGGTTATTTTACAGTAGTTTAAATCTTATACTAGCATGTTGGGTAATAATAGTATGTGCAATATATATATATGTTATCCTTATTATTTATACCATGAGTTCTTCAATTGGGTGGAGCAATGGTCTTATATATCTTTTAAATGACAAAATGCATTAAGAATTTCATTAAGAGCCATTTTAATTGGTTTCATAAAACTGTACAACTTGAACAGTTTAAACTGGTAGGCTACTAGGCCGTCAAGATCACAAAAATGATTAAAGCAAGTTTATCTTCTTGTTTGTCTTTTAAATGAACAAAAGGTTTAAAGAACTTTAGAGCTGTAGTAGTTTTTTTACAAAATTTCAACTACTTTCAAAGTTTATCCGCAGCGTTACAAAAATATTAAAATCAGAAACTTATTCGAGTTATTCGTCTGCTTATATATCTTTAAAAGGACAAAAATGTCTTAAGAACATTATTAAAGTCGTTGTAATTGTTTTCATCAAATTTCAACAACTATAAAAGTTCAGGTCGCTAGGTCGCCAACTTCACACAAAATATGATAAAATCAAAAAAGAAATATCTCAAAGTGATTTTCCTGCTCATATATCTTTTAAATGACACGATATATCTTAAGAACCTTTTATGGGTCGTTTTTATTCATTTTAAAAATCTACAACTTTTAAAGTTTAGGTCGCCAGACCACAAAGTTCGTACATTTATTTATCTATCTTCGTCTGATTATCATAATGTTTTCCATGACATGTTGATAAAAACTGTTGATATATAATGCAAATTGTACAATGCAGTAGAATGAGTTTGTATGTGAAATAATCTTTTCGAAACAAATGAATTTGAAATGCTACCATACTACAAGACGTACATTGATAATGGTTTGAACAATATTTCATTAAAGCCATTCCCTGAAATAAAAAAATGCACCAAGTCAACTAAGTGACAGTTGTTTTCCTCAAATTGAACAAATTAATGTTTTCTAACTTATACGTTATATTTTACCGAATTGAAACACTCGTCATTTATATTCATGAAACATTTTTGTCAATGAGTAAAGTTTAAGTAAAAGATATTGTTCCACTTATGAGTTGTCTTGTCATCAGGTTTTGGTCAATATAACAGAAAATAGAAATCAAAATATTCAAATGTTATTTGTATACATTTCTGAAATAGTTGCCAGTTTTCATAACATAAACCTTCGTATCTGTCGAGAAATAACTAAATTTTTGTAAAGATGTACGATAAACTCACACAATGCTACGCAATAAGTAGTTTACTTTTTATCACTCTTCCCTATCATCGTATCACCCACTTTCTTGATTCCTCTGAATGGACCAGCTATAATGTTGGCGGCAACAATGAATGGAGCTGCTGCTATACCAGCTATAGGACCGTGCTCCTTCCCAAAGTCATTTGCAGCATCAAGACCTTCCGAAACAAACTTTTAAAAGTTATTGACAAGGTTTTCTCTCTAACTTATATTTTCTATTAATAATTAATGTCATATGTTACGGTTCGGATCGGAATAACGGTCCCGAGGGTATCCTGCCCATTGGGCGGTCACGAGACTTGTTCGGATCTGAACCTCAAATATATGTCAGTTTTCTTTTCTTGCATATTCTGCCATATTCATAATATTTCAAATTACCCCAGTAAGATATTTGTTCATAGAAATTAATGTCATTTCATCCATTACTATTTTCTTACAATAGCGTATGAATTTACAGTTTTAATACCAACGGCGAAATGACGTTATCCGTAGCACATAGTTCCCTTTTAAAATGTGCCGAAACGACGTCATTCATACGCTATTGGAAGTCGCAATCAAAGTTATACTGAGCATATTTTGTATAATATATATTAATGCATGTGCAATGCGTTTTTGTTTACAGCCAGTCATGACCAAGCAACTGTGATCATTTTCAAAAAATAGATTACTGTGCTATTATATAAATATTCATTTACGGTTGTATGAATAATTTGAATAGAATACCATATATAGATAAATATTGTGTTAATTTTTCTCACAGGGTGAATGAATATCATAGATACAAAGGAATGAATATCACCAGGACTAAGTTAAAACAGGTCTATATGTGTTAACTTTTGATATATATTATCTTTTTACTGTTTACAAATATCCAGATGTCTAAATCTATGAGTTAACATGTCGTCTTTATTTGATTATCTAAGATACAATAATATGTTCTTTCATTCGATATGTTTTTCTTGTTATTGTTTGTATCATTTACGTCTAAGATATCACGTTTACCTTTTCCTGCACCGTAAACAATGCCACCTGCAGCGGCTGCAGGTACCCACAACGGCGCTGTCCCTACTGTCGCCGCTGTTTTAATTGCCTCTTCATCAGACATTGTCCTGCTCAAGGAAATAATTTCAGGGTTATTTAAGTAATAGTATATTGCTGTAGTCTCTTTACACATATCCTTAAAAATTCAGTATTTTCTATTTTAATGCTATCTGCATTTGCAAAATGTTTGAAAGTCCAAGGTTATTAGAACAGAAAGGAATCTCGACTAAAGCAAATAACATTGTATCTTAAGTTGTTTGAATATCTTATCGGCAGGTGGCCGTTGATTTGTAATATATCCGGTTGTAAATATATTTGTCCACCCAGGACGTCGTAATGATGTTACTTAAAAGTATACACAGGCAATATGTTCATTTCTTCGTTTTGAAATTTTCATTCATCATTTTGTAAATGTCCTCAAAATGTATAGGCAGTCACAGGAACAAAACTTTTCTCCTTATAAAGAATAAAATAGTGGTTTTCTAATTTGACCAACGTGGGTCAGCTTAGAGCGTTAACATATCGCCAAAGTTGTCAGTGAACTCTGGAATCGTTAAAGCACATGTCAAATGAAAGATTAAGACTTGTTTTAATTAAACACTATCCAAACTATATGTTATTGTAACTTCCAGTGTTTGCTCAAGTAACATGACTTTAGTGTTTCTGTCGGCGTCTCAATTTTGTTCAACATATATAGATACATTTACGCTTAAAACCGACAATACATAGAAGTTAATACAGAAATTCATCCTGGATTTAAAAAAAAATTCATTTGTGATTTGAGTGCATTAGATCATTTTAATATTATTGTCAATAATTTGCTTGAGTATCCTCTGAGTATGTTTGTTTGTATGTAAGATGAAATTTTATTTCATCTCGTGAGCTTTAAAAACAGGATTCTCACGAGTGAGAATTCTGTTTTTAAAGTTCACGAGATGAAATAAAATTACATCTTACACAACGAACAAACAAATTTTCTATTTATTTTATGCTTAAAAACAAGTTAAAACGAAATTTCCTTGATATTAACTTTAATATTAAAATCTGTTTTCCCAAATGGTAGCCTCCATTATGTACATGTATTAGTCGAATTTCTCATAAAATACAAGAAGTCTTAGGCTGAAAAATAAGTTCGATAATCAACGTTAAATGATGATTTTATTCATTTTATTACAAAAAATAAGACTGATCGCTTATCTTAATAATAAAAACAAACAATTCTAGTAGGCGATAAAGTCTAACCATCCATCCATATTTCTGTTACTTACTGCGAATTTATATTAGACCTGGTTATGTTAAATGTAAGCGGCCGCCATTTTTAAAAGTTGTGTATTTCACGGGAGGAAAATAATTGGTTTGACTCAAAGGGAAATCATTTGCATTTTTTAGTCATACACCTTTTTAAAAGACAGAAAACTTATTTGAGGAATGTAACAGACAATATATAAGTGTTGACAGATGTGTAAACATTCAAAAAGCGGACTAGGAAATTGGAAACTTGGATTCGTTGAAAGGCTGCCTTAAGAACGCAAGGTTGTTTACTTATTCTTCGAGCTGACGGCTGTCATTGCTTTTCAAGTTTTCATAAAGCATACGGCAGTTATTGCTCGTAGGATACTTAAATATGCCCACAAGTCATCAAGAACAGTTTTGCATGTGGAAGGAATGTATTTTTCAGACTGTAAAAATGAAACAAAAAAATTAAGAGACGATATTTGGTGATTGGTAATTTGGATAGATAGAAGTAAGTTTCCTTCTTTTTTTACTTTTGACATTTAAGTCAATTTCAGCTTTGCTTTTCTCTTAAGAGCCTAACATTGTCAAAATTGTCAGCAAAAATAAAATTGAGGTACCACATGGGGAAAACCTTAAAAAAATAGTTTCGTCATTGAAAAGTGTGAAATTATATTTTGATAATTTTAACTGTGAAATTATTAAATATAATTTTCACGGATAAATCAGTAATCCACTGAAAAGCATAGTATAAATATGTTGTAAAGTATCTTAAAATTAAGTTATTACAAACCAATAAATTTATTTAATTCATCGTACTTTCCTTTCTCCAATGAAAAAGCTTACAAAATATATATTATAATCATTTTTTCTTTAAACTTCACTGTTTTCAACTTGCAAGGACTTCCTTTAGATGGAATGTAGATCAAAAAATCACCTTAACACTATTTGTCAATGGCTTTGTGCTTTTATCCCTCTGTCATATTAATCATCAAATAAACGAAACTATTCAATCTCTAAATTTTGTTTCTTCTCTCATCTTTTTTCTCTCACTTTCAATTATCATGAGAAGTCCCACAATATTACAAAGTGGTGGACAAAGAACGCTCGGTGCGATTTTGCTCACTGTATGATACATTTATCCAACAAAAAGTTGAAATTAGAATTTGCAGACTGAGATACATTTCCATGAAGCTTCCATTTCTAGAATTTATTTCAATATTGTAATCATAATAATAGTATAAAGGGGAATAAAGAGAAGAAAAGACACTAAACTAAACTTCACTCCAATGCCTACAAACATAAAATTTAAAATTCTTACAAATATCAACTGAGGCACTGAAGCGGACAAAAATGAAAAGGGTATGAATGCAATTCACTCAAAAATAAATTGAAATTCGATTTAAAGTACGATTCGTAGGCCGATTTAAGCCATATGTGTCTAAACGATTTCATATTTGAGGTTATCTTACGAAATAAAAATGATGATTATGGAGTTTTACAACTAGGTTTGTGGTCCAAAACTCAAGAACACAAATCCCGGAAAATTATTTCCAGTCCCGTCAAGTCAAAACAAAAACCCTGTGGAGTCCATTTAATATATTAAATAATAAATACAAATGACACTTACCTTTCCCAAGGACGTAGAATATACTTCTCGTCAGTTCAACAAACCACGGCTTATATAAAAAGTTTAAAATAGTAAAACCAGCTCAAACTGGTGATATCCTACTTGAAATTCTTATATTATCAAAGACGTTATCAATAAAAAAAGACACCATCGCGCGATGCATGTTTAAATAAGTCATTCGTCAGTGTAAGAGTTATTTCAACTTGAGTGTGTGGAATATTAGTAGACGCCGCGTGCACGCGGTGTCTAGTGGATATGCATTTGTGCATACAGCAATGGGGGAAATTTCAGACTTGATTTTGTACTTTTTTTGTTAATAAATTCTCAATGTTTTCAAATTTTCTATTAAAGATAGCTTTCCTGATGTACAACATGTCACAGAGCTTTAAGGGATTTGAATAAACGTTTAACTGAGGTGATAGTGTCATGTGTTAAAGTTTGGCTCCGCCTTAAATTGTCGCCAAATTTAATATGATGCTCCGTATGCTAGCAATTAGTCTTCGTTGACGGGGCGAAAGGGAACCAGGACAACTTTGATCAATATCACTTGTAGAATCATTAAATTACAAGTTACAAAGCCTAAACCACCCAAACTATCAGAGAGGCGGTTCTCCCTCAACCGTTAAGAAATTACGCCAAACTCTGCGCTCTGGTTACGCTACGGCCAGTAAGGGGAGATCCCTGCAGAACAGTTCGTCCACAAAATCATTCGACATTGTGCAATTCATACCAATATTTAAATGGACATATTCTTGGCACATATTGTCTTGAATTTACTTTAAGTATACCAATCATTTCAATTTTACTTGTTACCCAATCTATTTTGCTTCGACCAGACGTTTCAATCTTTGTCGCAAAAGACAAACATTTCAGAATTTCAGGCATGGCATTACTTTGTGAATTAATGCATTATGTTTTAATTTTTCACAAATATATGCAATAAAACTATTAAACAACGAGCACTTCCCAAAAACCTGAAAAACAATTGATTTGTGCTTCGGATATTCGACTGTAATAGAGAACGATTTTCAATGCTGATTGACTGTTCACATCATTTGGCGGCGTCTTTGATGTGCAGCATCAACATTTAAAATGTTTGTGTTTCTGTTATTATATAAAGAATCCTATGGTGTCTGATTTTGAAAACTTTTGTGCCTCATGTTGTCGATAGCGACAGCACGACAAAGCGCCAAACGGCGCGTTGTCGCACTGTTGTCTTGTCGTCATGTCGCTAACAATCACGCCAAACGGCGCGTTGTCGTGTGGCGTGTTGTCGCGATGTCACATTGTCGCTCGCCTCGCCTCAAATCGAAAAATTGACTATTTGTATATATATATAAGCCAAGCGAAAGGGGACATCGCGACACACCCCGTTTGGCGTGCTTTGCTAGCGACTGGACGACAAGAGGATAGTGCAAGAACGCGCCGAACGACGCGTTTTGCTTGCGACAAGACGAAAAGGCGATAACGATATAGGCTGTGTACCAAAGCAGCCACCATAGAATCCTGCCAAATGATGACCAAATGACTTACATGTATATCTAAAGGATTCCGTAAATTACTTGACATTGGATTTCTGGTTTACCACAAATTATTAGATCCGTTTATAATTAAAAACAATTTCGAAGAAATATTCTAAACACTTAATATATAGCTAGGCAAAACGATACCAGTAGGTAGCATAGGAAAGCTGACGGAAAGCCCGTGGTTCTACTCAGGTGCCGCTTCTTTGTATAATTTCTCAGTTAATTTGATATATATGTAAGCATGGTCTCCGTCGCAGTTATCAGCTGTAGTAGATGAAAGCAACACCAACGGAAATCTGAGTAAATTATGTACATGGTGTACATGTATTTAAACTTACATCAGATCTAGATATGCTTCTTACAAGCCCTTTTCAAGGGAGAAAACTAAATTGCTCATAATCTTTCCAACTCATTTCTAGTTACTCCCCTTTAACTCGTAAGTAAATCCAAACACCGGGCCCCTATTTGTCTGAAACGTCAACCTTTGCATATTATCAACAATGTTATTAATATAGGATGGTTATATTCCTTAAGTCATATAAATTGATCTTGATTTAACAGCATCATCAGAACAACAAGATATGTTAATTGTTCAAATAAATCCGACATTATATATGCAATACTTGAAATAAAAGATCTTAATTTTCAGTCTTTGAGTATTGTAGACTATCTGATAGTTACATTGAAACACTTGTTCCTCATCACTGCGAGTTCGAATCCCTTCAATGGATATTCAATGGATTTTGTCATGTGAGGAACAACAATACATTTACTAATTGCGCAGTCGGTGGTTAGACTAGAAGACTAGAACGTTTCTAAAACGACTCACGGAGAGGCTAACCTGAGGTTTTCCTTAACCTTAACCAGTAAAGCTTGTATGTCACCATGCTTGTATGTGACAGTGTAATTGTGACACCAACAAGATACAATAGAAACATAAAACGGCCTGGATATCTGAGAATGATCTCTTACTTAGTCATTTCTAAAGAAGTTTTAATGTAAGCAACGTATACTTATCAGTCACGTTTATGATAATTATGAAAACTTATCAAATATTTATGAACAATTCAAGGACTTAATAGCAAAGCTCTTAAAATATTTGAAAGATAGCATAAAAAGATAACGTAAAAAGGGGAGGGGGTTGGAGCATGTAACAATAACACGTATATGATAATTATAAAAAGATATTACATATTTACGAACAATTTAAAAACCTAATAGAATAACACTTTAAATATTTGAAAGATAAAATAAAAGGAGGCTTTTGGAGTATGTAACAATAAGACCAAAATATTTAGAATTCATACATCACACTTCTCATTTAAAAAATCACTAAATAGCATAATATTTGACCAAAGCTCGTGTAAATATAATAATGGTATTATTGCGCAGCGAAATGTGACTTTTTTTTAAATTTCAAGATTAAAAAACTTTGTATGACATAAATGAGTAGATTTCATATTAACAAAATTCTACAGGACCAAATATGACTAATAAATAGTTTAGTCAGCATATTCGTTGTTATTTTTCTATAAGGGGGTTACTTAAAATGTTAAAACATTATTTTCCCATATTTTTCTTTTTGGGGGTTGGGTGCTTACGTCGCACCAACACAGTTGAGATCAAATGGCGACTTTCGGAGGAACTCCTTAGGTGCCCGTCAATGCATTTTGCATTATATTAAAGGCGAGGACGGACAACTGATTAGAAACACCGACGTTCCATACACCAGCTGGATAGTTCATATGAAATATGTTAAAGTCCATGGCGGGATTCGAGCCTACAGGGTAAAAGATTTGAAGTCACCGACCTTAACCAAATACGCCACACGGCACGCTTGATTAAAGGCGATAGATCATAATCACACGGAAAATGGAACCTAAATGTATATAATGCACCTGTCAATATTTTGCCCTACCGGGGGGGGGACGGCGGGCATACACGGGGCTTTAGACAGTAGACCATTCCTGACAGGCGGGAATTTGACAAACTTATGGAATCCGGGTCCCGGGTAATAGACTTTGGCCGGTTTTTAAATCCCGGGACTCGGGAATTTTGACGCCACAAAATTAAAAGGGGAGTAACTGCGAAAGGTCAACAGACGACGGCGATATTTTTATTCGTGTTTTTGAAGTTGCAGACATGAAACTTTTCGATTTTTTCAACGGTAGAGAAAATTGTGGGATAAGGCGAGAAGGTTGCCCCAGAATTGGGATTTATTTGCAAAGGTATACAGGGATTGTATTCTTTATTTGTTTTCTACCCAGACACTACGTGGAGCCTAGCGGTTTTCATGTTTGTCATCTGTTTTCGCGAATAGACCCATTTATTTTGCGAGTCTGAAAGGCGTTGGAAATCACATGAAACTGACACATATCTCGTATTAATAATACAAAATCCACAAAAGAACGTTCACTTTGCCTGTAGAATATAAACGATTAGAGCAGAAAATGTCGTATCAATTGAGATAATCCCTTTAACTGCAGTATGAATGAACTGATCAAGTGACACAAAACGGATGTTGAATACATACACACAGAATTATGTTATTAATTATTCATTTTATAATTATTTTAACACCTATGCGACCAGTGTAGATCCAGATCAGCTTGCACATCCATGCAAGGGAGTTAAAATCCAAAGGCTGAAGTCACGGGACTCCAAGTCAGTAGTTCCCGTGAGCCTTGTTAGAATCAGAGACATAGAGATAAGCAGCTCTTATATACTCCATTGAAATATCACCCATGCCTATCCAAAATCGAAAAATTAGGCATTTTGTAGCAAATAAAACTTAATGGATGTACATTTGATCCTTAAATATTATTTACCCCAGTGTTTTTTTTTCACCAAAATATTCGGCGAAATTCTCCCCATTCCCCACTCAAAATAGTATGTTTCTTTCCCCCTCAAAGCTGAAATTTCCCCCTATAATATGGCAGCCCAAGTTTGCCTGCAATGAATATCATTCTTTTGCAACTTACTGCCGAAAAATGCTTTATTTTATGCCTGTAAGACTTACTGTTAAGCAAGGTTTTCATATAGGTAAGGGGAGCTACTCCTGGTATCCCAACAAGTTTATCATGTGACACATCAATATTTTAGATCTGTATAAAAATCCCCCTCCTATTGCATTTCCCCCCCCCCTCCAATGGGCACCGACCCCCTTCCCCCAAAAGTGAAAAATAACACTGTACCCTTTCTTTGAAAGGTTAATCTTTCATCTATAACTGCATGTTAAAATATTGGTAACCTTCCATGCCTTTCCCTTAGAAAAACATGGCAGAACATACCCACTGAGCCATTTTTTTTGTCACATGAATAGTTTTGTAACAAAAAATATCAAGAAGTTCTCTTTAAAAAAATTGATGTAACATTTATTTTAATGGGAACTGTAAATATTTTTACCTGCAGGCTGCAGCAATAGACAAATGCATAAGTTTTCAGAAAATGTATTATTTTACTGATTTTGATATCTGGTTAATAAGTTTTACTTGCTACAAGTTTTAAGTTTAGCAGGCACGCGTGATATTTTAACTGGCTAGGAAGAAGCTTATCTCTGTTATCTATGTCTCTGTTAGAATATGATTTTTAATAAAGTAAGAAAATGCATTTAAATACAATGTATGTCAAAACAGATCTAAATAAAATAATATCCTTTTTTTCAGATGTATTACCATCATTGTTTTTTATCATTTACTGTTTCAACTGCTTGTCATAACGAGGCTTTGAATCTTGGCTATCGGTTTCATCTTCATTGGTCATGTATTGCTTTACGGTCGTGACTTGCTCTAATAAAAAGTAAATTGAATCTGCAGAAACTATGTTAAGGCTTTGTTCTTATCTGATAAATGTGAATGTATTAAAATGTTGATTTATATTTAAACAGGTGAACATTTGGTTGGACCATTTGACGAGTGTTTCTGCCAACAGAAAAAGGGGCAAGGCAAAGGCGTCCGAGACACGGTCTTTGAAAAAGGTATTCAGGCACAATGACATTATGAGTTGAATCTCATAAATGATTGCCTCAACATTAAATGAGTCTGAGGCCAAAAAAAACTCTTTTTTTTCTGAAAGCCATACAAAACATATAAGTGGTATTGCACTTCTGTTGTCTAAATATGTGTATTTTATCATTGACATGGTGGGGAATCATTGATATGGTGACCTGTAACGTAACATGGTATCTTAAAGTCCCATTATGCATTTGTAAACTTTATTTGAAATAAAAGAGTATTCAGTTTCACACCAATGACATCAAGTAGAATTCTGATGTAAAATTTTGCATTTGATTTCTTAAAGACATGAAAGAAAATCTTCAAAATAAGCTATAAATATATTGCGCTCATGTAGCGCAAATGTACTAATTGGAGGTATGTTTGGATGAAAAAATAATTTCTGAAGAATAGTAATGCGGAAATGAGCCATTTTCTTCAATAAAAGGATAAGTATGATATGTTTATTCAGTAATTGAAATTTTACTCACAAAAGCATTATGTTCCTTTAAACTTAAAATTCTCCTGAAAAAGCACAATATTGTTTATAATGTCGCTGGGGGCTATTGCAAGTCCTGTCAGTTACGCATACTCCAAAATATTTTCTGTTAAACAAAGATATTGACAAAAAATTTCACATTGACACCAGAATCTGAAAGATTATCAATTGCTGCAATACCATGTCATGTGGTCTCCATATCACGTGATTCCCCACCATAATTGCAAGATTAGTTTGATAGACTTAGTACCAGCAGAATTGTTAGAAAATAATGTGTTTTCAAAAAAAACAACAAAAAAACAAAATTCAGTACCATTTTTGTTCCAATAGAATTAAAAACAACCTACTGTTTTATACATCAAAAATATATGTTGGAAATCTTTGTTAAGTTGTGCTACTAAATTATTAATTTTTAAACAATCCAGGTTCAAGCTTCTATCCAGGCCCAAGCTCCTATCAAGGTTCAAGCTCCTATATATCCCGACTCAAGCTCCCATCCAGGCTCCTGCTCCTATCCAGGCTCTTGAGGAAAGTGCACCAGATTGTGAGTACACCATGCAACTTAGCTTAAGAAAATTATGTCAGTTCTTTTTGTAGCTTTGTGTTGAGCTATAATTGTCGTTTCTCCATGAAACTTGGTCAAAATGTGTGGCTGAAATCTCGGCAAAGTTCAAGGTTGGGTCATGTGGGGTCAAAGACTATGTCACTAGGTCAAATCTTAGAAAAAGAATGCAAACAGTTTAAAGGCCACATTTTTGGCCCATTTTTCATTAAAGTTAGTGTAAATGTTCAAATCTATGAAATCTAGAACATGTTCAAAATTAAGTAATGAGGGGTCAAAATTAAGTCACGGGGTCAAATCTTAGAACATTTTTGGTCTAATTAAAATGAAAATTAATAAATTTGAAACCTTAAAGATTATAAAAATGCCCTCTATTTCAGAAAAACAATGTGGAAATGTCCAGGTTTGACTCCAGGAGGAGGAAGAATGTCTTTTTTAATGACTTTTTGTGTTAAATGTTAAAATGAAATAAGAAGTTAAAGTGTTGTAAGTTTTTAGCTCATCTGAGCTGTGGGCACGAAGCAATTGTGATCATGACCGGTGAATGTCTGTCTTCGCAAATCTGGTGTCCTCAACTTTTAGTGTTTTAACACTCTAAGAGGCCACAGATATGGTTCAATTATAATCAAGCTTGGTCAGCATGCTTACCATCCCTACAGAAACTGGGTCATGTGGAGTCAGAAACTAGGTTAGTAGGTTTATTTTGTAGCTAAACTATAAATGTAAAATATTAAAGAGCTTATATGATCGATTGTGTGTCCGTGTCCGCATTGGTTTAAGTTTTTTAAGTCATACATTCTATTCTATGAAAGATATTTAATTGAAACTAGGAACGGTATTTAGTGGGACTACCACTACCATACTAAGAAGGTCTATAACCTTGATGCATTATTTTCAGAATTATGCCCCTTTATTACTTTAAAATACCCATTTTTATAAAAAAATATAAGAATCTTCAAAGTCTAATTATTTGAATACTATCAAAGTTATTAAACTACAATTGATACATATATACTCATTGGGAGTGACTATACCTACCTTACTTCTGAGGCCCATTAATCTGGATTCATTATTTTCCTAATGATAAGCCTTTGTACTTATATTTTTCATTGTTTTTTCTGATAACAGTTTTATTTATTGATTGATCTATTAAATATTTACCCTCTCCCCTACCCCCGGGGCATTTGGTGCACCAAGCAGGCTCAAGGGTGGGGATCTAGACAAAATTGGTTGTCTCTAGGGTGGGGATTTAGACTTCAAACATTTTAAGATGTCAAATTCCCCGGGTCAGCCCGCCGCCCCCCCCCCCCGGGCGGGCATTATATTGATAGGTGCATAATACATAAGTATACCTACAGCAGTGGATATGGACGATGTCATTATATAAAAAAAATGTTATGGTTTTTGTTTTACAAGAGGCATATTATATAAAATATATAGAAAACGTATTTTTCTTTGTAATACAATAGGGCAAGTTTTGCAAGTCTCTTTGTACGTTAGGAAAGTACGAGTACGTTGACAGGACTCCAGTTGATGAAATATTTCGCGAAACTCGACTTATTTTTTTTATTTTGATACTCCAATGTTCTCGATTTAAAGAATTTAACTTGAAAAAAGTATTAGACTTTTTTTCAAAATTAGGCTTTTAACGTTTCTGAAGTTATACCTTAAATGTGCTTATTGTAAATAGTCTAACGGTGTCAGTCAGGTACGGAATTTGACCTTATGCGCTGTAGTCTTTAAAATATTTAAATTTTTACAATAACTGGTTTCCAAATCGTCTCCAGTTTTACTAATCATATTCGTATTTTCGAGCGAGAGATTCAAGACGGTTGTTAGCGTTAAGCTTTAGCATATAATTCCGTTGAAAATGGCTACTTCTAATGGTAATGAAACTGATTATATAGAAGAATTTAAAAGGAAAAGGTATTTTCATAAGGCCTTTATTAACTTGAATTGTTCCGAAGTTAAACCCTTAGACTGCAAGCGGAAACTGTATTTACCTACACAATAAGTGCAGACAAAGATCATCCGGCACATCCAGGGTCTGCACTGTTCGATATTCAATCGGTTCATATTGATTATGAATGGTTTTGAAACAAAGACAAGTTGCATTTGGCATTTAACATTGTTGGAGTAAAAGAAATGGAAAGAAAGTGTTTTGTGAATTGTGGAATCTAGAATTAAGCCGTATATGTGGCCATAGAGTAAGGCTAAAAAAGTTAGGCGACATCTTACTACTGTAGAATCCTCATACTCGTTTCAAGTGAAAACCAGTTGCCGTATTGTATGGTCGGCATGTAAAAGTAAAAAACACAAGTAAAATATTTATCATGTTTATTGCAAGTTCATGTTCAGTGTAAAAAGATCAACCTTTCTTTATATGTATGAATGAATATTAAAAATAATAAATAATTTCATGACATTAGTGTTACCGTCTTTCATACAATTCTTTGTTATATTAAAATCTAGAACTTTAATACAATCTCATACATACATTTCTAAATATATATATTGTTAGCAAACTGTATTCTTAGATATGTGTAGGCCGGACCGGGCGCCATAACATAACTTCATTTCACACTTTTGTCACGTATTTTCTACTTATATATAAATTTCCTATTTGTTGAATAAAATCTGTTAAATATAGTTACTATCTATCTATATGACAAAATATTGCGCTAATGGTCAGACAAATTTAGTTATATACTAAATTCTGAAAACAAAGTTATTAAAAAAACATTATGAGTTATTTTTATAAATCCAAACATAAAATGAATTGTTCAATGTTTTGTATCGCAAAGTAACAAAATAATTGGGAAATCATGCAAATAGTTAATCGGCATTTTTTTTTCATTTCCTAAAAGGGGTTTACAAATTCACAAATGGTAGAATCTATATCACAGAAAAATCACCCGGCCTGTTGAGCACCCAAGTCCTTGCTTCTGATAAAACTAATATATATTTAAATGTGTTCATAATCCCCGTGGTAAATGACACTATCTTTGATAAGGAAATAGTGTGCGAGTTAATTTATAAAGAAAAAGAAATAGCATTAAATCTAGACAATGATTATTTCTAGTATATCACAGTTATCAAAATCCAAACACCAAAGTTCAATGAGTTCAAACCTTTAATTAGCATAGGGGTAATAGAATTGGAAACGTGTCCGACAGAATTAAATGTAACCCAGTAAATTAATCATTTAACTTCTATGTTTATATTGCATTATGTAACAGATATATTTGTTTGGTCAAAGGCAAAATATGGATTATGTTAACGGACAAAAAGCCCACTTTTTTCAGAATTAAGTAATGTTATTGGTTCTTTTCTTGGAATGCATTTTCAGATGATAGATTTGTGTTGTTATTTGACACAGGATGATTAATGCAAAGTAATGAAATACACATTAATACATCAAACAGAAAAAAATGACTACAAGCAAAATGGTGAAGGAAAAATATAAACAAACAAAAAATAAATATGGAAAATAAAAAATATTTATACAATATTTGTAATAACTGACGCTATCTATCACAGACTGGCTTTTCCTACAACCAAAGCTAAAATATCATCAAGTGAATAAAATAAAATCATTTACGACCCTTCTACACTAACTGGTAACCGTCAAATCCCTACTCGTTTCATTCATACATAAATTAACTGATAAAAACAGAAAACGTTTTGTAATCTAAGACAAAGATACGCTTTCTGAATTAAAGCGATGCTGAAAAATGAAAACGGTTGCAATCAGGCAATATAAATTACTCAAATGAAACAGAACCTGAAGCGGGGATTCAAAACAGAACTGATAATGCCATTATTCAATAAAAAGAAATAAACATGACAAACTTAATATAACCAAAATATCTGTTTATCTTCATACTAAGCCTTTTAAGAAATGATAAATCTATGAGCATTGAGAAATTACATTTTGAATATAACTATCAGGTGTATTGCATTGTGGAAAACATTTTAATCAAACAAAAGGGAAGGATATCATATTACAGACTTTACATAATTTTCAGATTTGAAACTCTCTTACACTGGTGAAGAGTGAATATCAGAACATTCTTAGCAAACCAATGACACATTCACAATTTCGAAGACACAAAATATCTTATTATTGGCAACGTCATCAGATTACTGATCTCAATTACACATAGAAGTCATCCCGCTTCATATCCTTATTTGCAGCTAAACATATTTCAAATTTTCTTAATCTAAATCCCGGTCAATTTCACAGATTTTATTTCCTTTCTTTTTTCAATATTAAATCATCACACTTCATGTTTAACGTCTCACTAACAATTGATACACCGTTTTTCTTTCACTAAACATATTCCCCATCTTCATAAAATTGATAGGTGTTATTTAGTCCTGACATATTTCTTTCTACAGACACAGCTCGCACTAATCTATTGGCAACATTATTTTTATTTTTCTCCATGCTTTCCTTTCGAATTAATGAAGACCGCCCAGTTATTAACGGATTGTTTAATTTTGGTTTAGGATTTTCTGACCTTCCAGATAAAGTTACATTTAAACCTCCGTTAATGTGTTCGCCATAACCGTTTGTGTTACTGTCATCAAACGCGTGACCATTACTTTCTTCACTACTAAGCGAAAACGACTGTGACAGGTTTGTGTACGAACGTGATTTACCGACACTTGCTAACGATTTAGGAGCCGGAATTCTCGATTTACCCTTAACCCCTTCAGCTTTATCTTTCCTAGGATTCACATTGATCAGTTCTTTAATTTTCTTCATAATGCTACCGGAATCGGATTTCTTTTCCTTTTCAAATACATTGTCATTTTCCTCACTAGATTTCGAACTTTGCCTCACGACAGGCGAATAAGGTCGGGGCGGAGTAGAAGCGGGTCTTGGAGGTTGAGAGCGATTCGGAGTAGAACCGCGTGAAGAATCAGAATTAGTTCTAAGCGATGGAGAAGCAGGACGTGACGTATGTGGAGATACTCGGGGTGAAGCTGGTCTCGGGGGCTGTGAATTGACCCTTGGCGAGGCAGGACGTGGAGGTTGTGAAGAAACTCTTGGTGAAGCTGGCCGAGGCGTGATATGATTTGTTGTCCTGGGAGATGGCGGTCGTCTAGCGGACGGGCCAGGAGAGCCTGGCCTTGATGACCTTGGTGTAGAAACTGGTCCTGTTTGCCGAGACGGGCTTGGACTTTCCCTTTTTGTGTTCTGGTTAACTGCCACAGGTTGCGAATTAGAAAGCTGAGAAATGTTTGCACTGGAACTTGAGCTAGTGCGAGACATAGAAGGGCCTCTAGGAGTGTGATTAGAGCTTGTGTTTGTTTTACTAGACCTCTGCATTGCTGGTGATGTAACATTTGAGGAACTTTTTGTTGACACAGACAATGTTTTGGTTTTGATATTCCTATTACTATCTAAAGACATTTCTTCATCATTATTACTACTGTTTGATTTTGACGATTTTGATTTTGCTGCCTTTGAACCGATGACATTATTTCCCGGAGTTTCATTTACAGAGTTTTTCAGCTCTTGTTGTCTTAATTCATGGAATAACTTTTCCATTGTAGCATACATTTCTGGATCTTCAGGAGGGGCTTCTAATGCATCTGGATTTATCTCAGTTAATCCATTAATAGGTAATGTCAATGCAGCTTTTATCTCCTCGAGCGTTCGTGGTTCTTCATTCTCCTGATCTATCCTCATGTCAAATGAGTTCGGGGTCATTGCCCTTCGAAGTTTAGGATTATATGTTCTTTTCACCTTTGTTTTTTGCACAACCTTTGTTTGTTCAACCGCAGTTTGTACCCATTCTTGCGTTCTGTCATACACTCCGTGTGTTCCATTCTCGTTTCGTTTCACGGTTAACACTGTTTCAGCGTTTTGACCAGTACCTTTGCGCGGAATAAGCTGTCTCGGTTCAACACTTTGTGGTCTTTGTCGTGTAATTCCATGTGTAGATCGGGTACCTGCTCTCGCACGATTTTCTTCAGTTCGAGCTCTAGCAAGAACTTTAGGTTTATTCGCATTTTGTCTTGACTCAGTTTCGCCTTGTACTGATAACGAATGGCGACCTTCAGATCGATCTACATTTACAACTATCACAGCTTCTGAATGATCTAATGCATTTTGTTTCACCAATGATTTTTTATCTATTACTTCTGTTTTTTTAGTAGGTGATATGTTGGAATTCTCCTTTTTGTCACTATAAACAGACAACGATGCTCCTTTTGCTTCATTAAGGCGTGCGCGGTTTGTTGTCGCCGAGGTTGGCCGTAATGTTGACGTTTTGTTTAAATATGGACCTGGAGTCATCGATCGTCTGGAATTACTGATGGAATCATTTGAAGATGACCCAGGTCCAGGAGTTGTTGAACGTTTTTGAAACAATTCTCTATAAGTCTGTTCTTTACTTTTGTCAGCAGAACGTGCACCTTGAGTACCGTGAGCACGTGCTATTATATGGGATTTTTTAGGAGTTGGCGGTCTAGCGGCGGCTTTCTTATCATCAAAAGACTGAGCTTTATCTGCATCACCATCCTGTGGAAGGGACAATTTACGTGACACCTTAGGGGTTACGGGACGTGGAATGAAAGACGGTGTTTGTCTACCAGACGGTGTTTGTGGCCTAACATTACTCTGTGATCTAGTTTGATCATCAGATATTTTATTCATTTCATTAGAGAGTTCATCATTATTGTCTCTTGAATTAATAATTTCATTATCAATCTCATTCAACTCCTCTGATTCTTTAGGGTCATCTTCTTTATCATAAGAAAATGTGGCATACCCTACATTAAGCGGTTTAGATTCCAGATTACCATACGCGTTCTGGATGTCCTTTGAAATACTGGAAATATTTTCTCTAGGCTCACTGCACGCTCGTGCATTTGCTTGTAACTTTTCAAGTCTTAATTTCTCCTCAATGGCGGAGCATGGAGTATAAGAATTTGAACGAGTATAGTCTGAACTTGTACCACTAGATCCTCTGAATGAATAATCAGAATCAACACTAGAAGGCGTTAACACTTTACTGTTTTGGTCAGCATAATCCGTTCCAAAACTATTACGGCCATCGTCAGTTGACTCACATGACTGAATAGAGCTGTGAGAACTTGACCTGCTAGCAAATGTAGACCGATTACTCGATTGCAATGTAAATGAACTATCACTAACAGTTGAAGTATTTGACCGTGATCTTGGCATTGTATTAGGAGTTTTTGGTCTCTCCTGACCATATCCACTAGACGGCACTGTACGATAATTAGTTTTAGCACTAGTTGGTCTACTTGAAACCTCTATTGAAGTCCTTGGTGTAATAGAATTAGACCTTACTTTTGATTGTACTCCAGGTTTAGAAGGAATTGACGGTTTGCCAGATTGTGTTCTACTTGCACTTACAGATCTATAACTGTAGGCACTTTTACTAGGAGTAGATTTGGGCTTATTTGAAACATTCCGTCCACTGTCTACACTGCCCTGTGACCTCGGAGAGTCAGAACTACACTGAGATTCAGTATTACCATTAGGCACAGAAAGAGCACTGTTCAGGAGATTTCTAAACTCTCCAAGAGACATTGTGCTTATCTTATCGATAGCGAAATTTGAACTTCCTGGCTCAGCCATGGCTTCTGCTTCAGAACCTCGACTTTTATTGGATTCTGTAGACGTTTGACGCCGGAGAGTTCTTTGAGTCTGCTGTGACGTAAGCTTCCCGTCACGTGATGTTCTTGGGGTAATTTGTGTCGACGGTTGAGCGTTTACTTTTCCTTCTCGTGAAGATCTGAAAAAAAGAATTAAACCATTATTGATATGTACCATCACTTCTTACAAGTAAATAGTTTGAACACGTTCATGATTCGGTGTCATAATCAATTGCTTCTCACAGTCACATTACGGTTCATGATATATTTAGTTTCCATAATTTGTTTCGTTCAAACCATCTATTGCACGTACAATAAATTTATTTACCTCTGTCTATCCTTGCCCCAAACAATTTGCGACTTAAGTCTAGATAAATACATGTTACTGAACAAACGTTTGACCACTGTGTACTCCGGATTTGGTAAACTTTAAGTTTATTTTTGACCGACTGAGCTAATAATTCTCGATTGAAAACAGATTGATTATTCACTTCAATGTCCACAAAATAAATAAACTTTAACGCACAAAGCTGATTTAATTTTGCATTATCAATACACGGGTATGGCATTTATCAGGCTGCTATCTGAAACCTTTAATTAGTTTTATAAGACGAACACCCGAAATCAGCAAGATCGGGTTGCTCGAAAACTCAACATGTATACAATCAGTATAATGTACATTTATGTAAAATTATTGATAACGTACGGCATGGCTTTAATTGTTATACCCATTTTGAAAAAAAAACATCACGTGACTTTTTCGAGTCATGATATAATACTGATAATGAATAAGGAGCTGTATATATTAACGTTACACATTTAACATTTTGTATCAGATTACAGTCTAGTACCAGACTGAATTACGTGCAAACATATCAATAATATAGTGGAACCTGTCTATCCCGACCTATCCTGAACCAAAGAAAAAATTAGATTGGAAATACATGTAGTTCAGGACTAGAAGTGGTGTTTGTACATTTTCTGTCCGGAACAGTCTTTAAGTAAATACGATACCGGGACATGTGTTCGAATTAAGAATAATTCCGACTTAAAAGGGTTCGGGTTAGCAGAGATCCATTTTTAAACATACCTTATCACATATTTGTCTGAAGCAATAAGTTATAAAATAATTATAATAAATTTTGCAATGTTACAACTATAAATCTTTGTTGGAAGTAATATTTGTTCGTTTTCTAAGTTAAACAATTGCAAAAGATGGATTTGGGTATTTGTTTTCGAGATCTTACTGTTAGCGGAATACTGCATAAGTATTTGTTTGTTAGTAATGATATTTAATCTCCATGTGAAAGAAACACGAGATTCTTAAGCAAAGATTGCATGGGGCTTTAAGTTGCAAACGGGACAGTTTAAATAACAGACAAATTGCCAATGTACCTAATAAAGAAACTTTCAGAAAAGAAAATCATAAGCACTTTACACTATTCGCCATGTTTTTTGCCATTAAGAGTTGTAAGTAAGTTAAATATAAATGGTAAAAATAAAAATAGAAAGTATTGCTGAAAAAATAATGTGATACCCATGAAAAGGTTTGCAGGACAAAGAATAAAAACGAGCCCAATGTTTGCAAATAAATAGTTAGTTTTGTTTACAAACTTGTAAATTGTCGTTTCGCACGAAACATAAAGTAGTTTTAAAATCCCCTCCTGTTATCATTTTTTAAAGTGCATTTTCAATTAAATCTTTAAACACTGAGCAACCGAGATTTATATTAGTGATAAATTTGTTCATTTGAAGATAACATTGTTCTTGAATTAAAAGAATCATTTATTTAACTGAACAATTAACTGAACAATCACATTTTCTATCATCTTAAAACAATGTTTTAAATTAACTATTTTGATTAACTTAAAATTGAAAAAGCTGAAAATTTACAAAAAGCTTTACTCTGGCAAATTTTATTTGTTATAGTGCTGAAAGTGTGCGTAACGCTATACTATGGCAAATTGTAATTGTTTTGGTGCTGACAATATGCTTAACGCTTTACTTTGGCAAAATTCATTATATATTATAGTGCTGAAAATATGCTTAACGCTTTATTCTGGCAAACTGTATTTGTTATAATTCTGAAAATGTACTTAACGCTTTACTCTCGTAAATTGTATTTATTATAGTGCTGAAAATATGCTTTACGCTTTACTCTTGCAAATTGTATTTCTTATATCAGTATAAGTATTGTATCATTATGTAAGTATCAAAATATATGAAGAAAACGTTTTTAAGGATTATCTTTAATTAGCAGTGTCGCTTTCAAGATATGAAATTTTCAAAATTTATATATATTTATAAGACTATTCAGGTCAGTCTTTCAGTTCTATGAATATGGCATTTTATTGGCAAGTGCGTAGTTGAATAAATTGATCTCAGATTTTTATCTTTAAGCCAGCACATCTGCCAGGGTGCGTCATAATTGCGGCATTGAAAGGACTTTTTTAATTCCTTTGCGCACCTTAATATAGAAATTCAATAAAATGATAAATACGAAGTAGGTTGTCAAAGGTGAAGCTTATTCTATTTTCTTATATATTTCTAACTGTGGCATGAGTCACCCTGTTAAAATGATAAAAAAGAAATGATGAGCCTAAAAAATGTTAACTGTAAATAATGTCTGTTCATTTGTATTGTTTAGGGGAAAACAGTATTATGAACAGCAAAAAATTCAGATATTTTGCCTCCAGATGAGCCAAAATGCTTCAAGGAAATCAAACTTGAGAAAAATATTCTCAGATTTTAAGAGAAGGAAAAAGATTCAAAATTCAAGTTATAGTTGATCAATGACAGTTTTAACAGTATTTATCACCATGTTTCTACTGAATGACTA